AATCAGAACCTGCTCCGTCATCCACCGCGGTTTGACTCTCCTCCTCACTTGCATCGTCCTGCGTCTCACCTTCACCACCCACGCCAACCCTGAATGCCGTTGCCTTCACGTCAGTCGTCGTCCTTTCCGATTGTTTCCTTTGTATTTTTACCGTGAATTCATAGGTCCGGTTGTAATCTGCTGTAGATCTCCGTGGTCTGTCATTTGCTGCTTTGTTTTGTGGATTAGTTGTTGTTGTTGTTGTTGTTGGATGTGAACCTGGTGTTGTTGTTGGATGTGAAGCTGGTGTTGTTGTTGCCGCCATGGTTGTTGGTCTTTCTGTTGAATCCAGCTCTGGTTCCGGTGGGACAAATCGACCGCCGCGGGTGCTCCCCACCAACACAGACCTCGAAGGAGGAGGGTCAGGGGGAGGCAGAGGTGCTGTCACCACTCGAGGCACAGCCCCATGCAAAGCACCCAGAGGCACAGACTTAGGCACACCCGAGGGCTGCACCAGTGGCGGTTCCGCACGCACCTCCAAAGAGCTGCCAAGCTCCAGCCCGTCCAACACAGATGTCAGAGGGGGAGCGGCAGACAGCGGCAGGGAACTATCCTGCCGTCTAGGTGATGGGTTTTTCCTAGGCCTCCCGCGTTTGGGCCTCTCAGATTGCGCACTGGGTGGAAGGATGTGAAGTGGAGTGTGTTGTTTGATACGTGCGTTCAGGTGCTGAACAGTCCTACCAACATACCGACTAGCACAATGTCGGCATTCGAAGTTGTAGATAACATGACTGAGGTGGAGGGTTGGTAGGACGTCCTTCCGCACCGTGAACGCACGCATTGTTGTGAAGACTGGCACAAAATGTACTGCATAATAAGTACGACGGACGATAGACTTGACTGCGTGACACACTTTGATCGATTCCTGCCCCTTCCATGGCAAACATAGATAGACGGGACAGCGAGGTGGACCAATCAGCACCGATTTCGGTTTCTGCTCCATGGACAGAAACTTACGCAACAAGAATTCCGGGTAGCCATTCTTCAAGAAAACAGATCGAAGGAAATCGAGCCTACGTTCACCGGTCAGTACATTGCCTTCGATTCATATTGTTCGTTTCAATACAAGGTCAACTTAGTTCGTAACCTCGTGGACCGTGCGAAACGTATTTGTTCGCCCAGTAAGCTGCAGGCCGAGCTCGATTTCCTTCGATCTGTTTTCTTGAAGAATGGCTACCCGGAATTCTTGTTGCGTAAGTTTCTGTCCATGGAGCAGAAACCGAAATCGGTGCTGATTGGTCCACCTCGCTGTCCCGTCTATCTATGTTTGCCATGGAAGGGGCAGGAATCGATCAAAGTGTGTCACGCAGTCAAGTCTATCGTCCGTCGTACTTATTATGCAGTACATTTTGTGCCAGTCTTCACAACAATGCGTGCGTTCACGGTGCGGAAGGACGTCCTACCAACCCTCCACCTCAGTCATGTTATCTACAACTTCGAATGCCGACATTGTGCTAGTCGGTATGTTGGTAGGACTGTTCAGCACCTGAACGCACGTATCAAACAACACACTCCACTTCACATCCTTCCACCCAGTGCGCAATCTGAGAGGCCCAAACGCGGGAGGCCTAGGAAAAACCCATCACCTAGACGGCAGGATAGTTCCCTGCCGCTGTCTGCCGCTCCCCCTCTGACATCTGTGTTGGACGGGCTGGAGCTTGGCAGCTCTTTGGAGGTGCGTGCGGAACCGCCACTGGTGCAGCCCTCGGGTGTGCCTAAGTCTGTGCCTCTGGGTGCTTTGCATGGGGCTGTGCCTCGAGTGGTGACAGCACCTCTGCCTCCCCCTGACCCTCCTCCTTCGAGGTCTGTGTTGGTGGGGAGCACCCGCGGCGGTCGATTTGTCCCACCGGAACCAGAGCTGGATTCAACAGAAAGACCAACAACCATGGCGGCAAAAACAACACCAGCTTCACATCCAACAACAACACCAGGTTCACATCCAACAACAACAACAACAACTAATCCACAAAACAAAGCAGCAAATGACAGACCACGGAGATCTACAGCAGATTACAACCGGACCTATGAATTCACGGTAAAAATACAAAGGAAACAATCGGAAAGGACGACGACTGACGTGAAGGCAACGGCATTCAGGGTTGGCGTGGGTGGTGAAGGTGAGACGCAGGACGATGCAAGTGAGGAGGAGAGTCAAACCGCGGTGGATGACGGAGCAGGTTCTGATTCGGACAGTGAGGGAGAAGGTGAGCTGAGTGAGGGTGAGAGGGAGTGTGAGGGTGTGCGCGTGAGTCGAGATTGTGTGCGTCCGTCTCGTAATAACAAGTCTTCAGTATACAATCATTTGGTTTCTAGTACTGACTGTTGTCATACTTATTCTGATTCCTGTTTTTCTGTTTTGTGCCGTGCTCGTCATGGTTATCTTTTGCAGTTACAAGTTTTGGAAGCTGTTTGTCAGCGCATTCATAAGCCGAATTTGTGTGTCCAGAAAGATAGTGTTATTACCCTAAAATTGTTCAAATAATGTTCTGTTGTGTAGTGTGGCAACGTTGTTGCCACTTGTGCCTAAATGTGTTTTGTCACCTTCTTGTTTATGATTGTTATTATTATCATTCGTTCTCACTTTTTTTTTGTTTTTGTTTTTTGTTGCTGATACACACTTGTCACGCTTAGTTCTTACTTGTATACCCTTGTTTTCTGCACACTTTTGTGAGAAATCGCACCTCGATATTCTAGTGCTGTCATTGTATCGTGTCACCCTACCTTGATTGCTATATTATTTCCTTTGTTCTCATTTTGTTCTTTAGTACAACGGTGATTCCTGAAGAGTGTTGTACGAAAACTTGTTCGAATCATCTCTTTTTTTTCCATTGCCCTTTTTCTTCTTACATGTATTTTTCCTTACCCTTTAGGTTGTTTCTTGCATCGTCTCCATCGCTTACATTGTTAATAAAGTAGTCCACATGTCGCTTCAGCTCGTCCTACTTATTGTCATACTAACAAAGAATGTTGATTGTTACTGGACGGTGACGAGACCAGTAAGATACTTGACAAAGCAGTCTTACTACAATTCGAAGCAGCACACCACCCAACTTGGGGCGGCTCAGAAATATCAAAGATAAGTACAGAAGGGGGAGCTTTGTGAAAACGAATTGCACAAAACCGCGTTGGTCTCCCCTTATCCTAAAACCTTCTGAGTTGGAAGGCTGTTGAGTGTTGGTTAGCGCTTCGGAGATGCGTATGTAGGAGCTAGGTGTCAGGTCATCGAATGCCTCAGTACTCTGTCAGTTTTGTACCTAGTTGTTGTACTTTCTGACTGTATATAGTATCTAGTTACAGTGGTGGACAGTTACTCGTAACCCATATCCATATGTCCCTTTTCTTTCTCTACTTCAAGTAGCAGCAACATTAACTAAATCATGTTTTAGTTTGTCAAGTTGCCTTCAGCCTTGTTCCTCACTGCTAAGAAAGAAAAGAAAACATGATCATGATGATGTATCATAGCCGCTTATCACGTATTTAGCATGTAACAGTTAGAAAAACATTATCATTTAGAGCATTGCTGGCCAAAATCGAGGCTCCCTTTTTTGATTCCTGGTGGTGGCAGACATTCTTTTCTTCAGACGTTTTCCTTTGTAAAACTCTATCAAACTTTAAAATATAGACATTTTATTGGTTGACTCTATTGGTACATGGTCTACAGGTATAAGCTGTCCTGACCCTGGTGCACCTATTAATGGTAACTACACAGGGACTGGGTTGAAGTACGAGGATACAGTTACGTACACCTGCAGACTGGGCTATGACATGCAGAACCATCCAAATCGTTCTCTTACTGGAGTGTGTATGGCCAACAGGATGTGGTCCAGCACCAAACCCACATGTGAACGTAAGTACATTACTCCATTATTATCTTGGCAAACTCCAACTATCCAGGTGCTCAATTATCCTGATTGTCTGTGCAAGTGTGGGTTGTGTATGATGAAATACAAACTATGCAAATCACCGAGTATGTGCAGAGGGTCAAAGATTTTTGTTTTAATGTACCAAGAGTATAATAAGTATTGCCTCAAGAACACAAAAATCTCCCTCTTCATTTCGTTTGCTCTTTGATGAAAACATGGCTATGTATACTAGTATATGGCATGGCACCAGGACCTGCAGTGTATTGGGGGGGGGGGGGGTCGCTCAAGAAACGCGAGGAACTTGAGAACCTCCATGCCATCTCCCAGTCACGACAAGACTGGAAAGACCTATGCAGCAATGTGATAAAAGCATACATCAAAGCCTAATACTGCTTCCACCTGTGGCAGCTACATGGCCGTACGGTGTACCATAACATAACTCATTGACTAACATATTTTGTGAAAATATTATCCTGTAAAAGAATACTGGGAATTTAAACAATATACCTGCGAAAACACAACCTTTAATACTACTAACACAACATGTGACTACAATAATCATGAGATCAACCCCAAAACATTTCTTGCGGTTTACTTTCGTAGAGTTTGCAACTTGTGTTCCTCAACACAACTTGCAGCTTTCTTCAAAATATCCTCAACCTTGGTTCTATCCTAGATCGTATATACATGCGACGAGGAGACAATAGTCGTAAAATGGCAATAAATAAGATAAATTGTGCACTCATAACAACAGCAAAAATGAAGAAAGTCAAGTTCCATAACGTTTTCTTGTGACTGTCATCAGTGGAACGCCGTCACATAAAAATGTAATAACTAAAACACACACTTATATACATGTAGGACTCAGTATAGAGTCCATGCACTATATGATGTCCAGCACCCTATATAGAGTCCATTGGTCCAAAATCCACTATACAGAGTCCAGGAGTCCACTCAGTTTTGATCAGCTTCATCCAGCCGCGCAATCCCCTATAAGGAGTACACTTTTTCTACAAGTCCCCTATTCACGGTCCAGGAGTCCAGTTCATCCAGTCACGGCATCCTGTGTACAGTGTAGGGAGTAGTAGCAAGACTCTTGGTAGTAGGTATTTTCTACTCCTTTGTTTTAGCTAAGCCAGGACCGGCAGGACTACGTGGACTGTCTGCAGCAGAAAGGGCTGTGAGTCGTCAAAACTGTCTGTACGAGTACACCTTCTCAAAGTAAGTTGGGGCGCTTTCGCGCTATGCGTCGTGTATGGACTTCAGTCACAAATCTGGTACTGGAGTCGTACAAACCCTTTCCAAAGTCGTACAAGCCCATGAACTGGGCCAATTAAAATAACAAGTGCAAGTGGAAGCTCCAGATAAATGGCGTACTTGTCCAAATATCGATCTCTCTACTCCTTTGTTGGCGACGAGTGCACGTACTGTCTGTAGCAGGGTGTCGTCAAAAACGGTATTTTACGACTTTCTGGTCTGTACACCTTTTCAAACATTGGTGGGCCATGTGGCCTCTCGCGCAATGCGTCCCATGAACTGGACCAAGTGGGCCATGGGAAGCTCCAAGGCCATAGATCTACTTGTCCAAATATCGATCTGTCTACTCCTTTGTTGGCGACGAGTGCACGTACTGTCTGTAGCAGGGTGTTGTCAAAAACGGGATTTTACGACTTTCTGGTCTCTACACCTTTTCAAACATTGGTGGGCCATGTGGCCTCTCGCGCAATGCGTCCCATGAACTGGACCAAGTGGGCCATGGGAAGCTCCAAGGCCATAGATCTACTTGTCCAAATATCGATCTGTCTACTCCTTTGTTGGCGACGAGTGCACGTACTGTCTGTAGCAGGGTGTTGTCAAAAACGGGATTTTACGACTTTCTGGTCTCTACACCTTTTCAAACATTGGTGGGCCATGTGGCCTCTCGCGCAGTGCGTCCCATATGGACTTCAGTCAAAGAAGAACTGTATACTGTGTACAAACCATTGAGCTTGACCAAGAGGAGAGCTCCAGATAAGGGCGTGCTTGTCCAAAAATTGATATGATTTCTTTCCATTTACGTCTACACCATGGCGGAGGATGGAGGAATCCGCATTGGAACTAAAAAGCGAGCGGTGTCCAAGACGAAGGACAGAAACGCCGAGAGTTTTTGGTCGTCCTTCGACGAAATAAAGAAAGTCTGCAAGCTGAAGGCAGAGAACCCGAAGTGGGGGAAACGTAAAATCGCAAGTCATCTGGCAGAACAATCGACGACAGTGTCAATCTCCACAGTACAGAGGTACTACGAGACTTTCTTGTTTGACTTGGAGGAAGACTGCCTATTCCACAAGTCCACGGAGCTCACAGAGATCCATCGTCGGTAAGTCAATGTTAATTTGATTCTATAATTATTTGGTACATTTATTGTACATTTTACAGTTTGAATTTTAGTACGTCCATGAACCTGCGTGGTCACCTTTCACATGTCAGGATCCTTTGATAACCTTTTTCCGTGGTACTGTACATAATAGGAACTCGAAAACGCACGTTTAGATAGCTGGGTGAATGTGAATTCTTCATGAGTTTACAAAAATATGGGAGATCACATCCAAATTAGGAATACAATACAATGTCATAGTCTAGTTTTTAATGGTCATGTCCTTGATCGCTTGCAGTTGTGTCACTCGCCAGTCGCTTATTGACCTCATCATCAGTGAGCACGAGCGCGACCATCGCCAGGGGGAGGCCTGTTACAACACGCTGCGGGCTAACTATTATCCAGGTTAGTTTATTCTGAAGCTCACTCTATAGTGTAGTCAGCGATGTTGTGCATGTTTTTTTAATTGCTGTTATGTGGCGTAAAAGAGCTAATTATTGCCATATATCTGCTCATGTATTCATTGGTTTGCCATATGTTTATGTGTGTGTTTTTTTATATGCAGTTGTGCGTGACACAGTTTTAGCATTATTTAAGACAAACGTCAACTGCACTGCTTGCCATCGACAGGCACCTCTACCGAAAACCACCCTCACACGGCGCACCATCTTGGCTACCTACCCCAACAGTAGGTGGCAAATGGACTTGAAGAAGCTCCCGAGTGTACGGGGTTACGAGTACTGCTGCAATGTGGTGGACTGCTTCTCCAGGTGAGTAGCTCACAGTGCAACTTGTCTCTACAGTGTCAAGACAATGTAATGTGGATAGGACGTGCAATGCTTGTTTTAAGTGAACTGAAAATGAATTGCCATATCAATTTGAAAAGTGATTTCTATGCCTTTCCATGTGATTGATTTCAATTTGTGTAAAATTTAGGTTTGCTATGGGTGGCCCCATCAAGAGCAAGAGCGCTAAGGACGTCTGCAATGTTATTGTCAGCTGTATGTACAGGTGAGCTTGCCTTTCATGTATTTAAAATTGTCTGTTGTATTTCAATAATGCAATGAATATAACTAAATGCGCACTCATATCACAACCATGGGGACGAATCATGTATAGTGTATAAATCCTATTGTAGTTTCATCATTCTCTTTAGTCACGAATTCCATTGATAATTGTGACAAGAAAACGTTCTGGAATACATGATTCGTCCCCATGGTTGTGATATGAGTGCGCATTTAGTTATATTCATTGCATTATTAAGATTATTGTCTCCACGTCGCCTTTTTGTTGTATTTCATTTAGTGTTTACTTACGTTGTGCTAATTGACTCGTTATTCATTGCACCCCATGTCCTTTTGTGTGTTAGGTGGCATGATGGGTGATAACTTACAATAACTCTGGATTCCTGTGTATGCGTGCGTGTATGTGTACATGTGTGTGTGTGTTTGTGTGTGTGTGTGTGTGTGTGTGTGTGCGTGCGTGTGTGTGCGTGTGTGTGTGTATTGCTCATAGGTATGGTGCACCTCGTATATTGCAGACTGACAATGGCAGAGAGTTTAATAACTCTAGCCTAGCAGCTGTCATGGACGAAATGCGTGCACTGAAGATTAATGGACGGCCGTACCATCCGCAATCACAAGGTCGTGTCGAGCGTCTTAATCAGACGCTAGCCAATTTTCTCCGCCGGGACCTCCAGAAGGAACCCGATTGGCCCTCTCGTCTGGAGTACTTTTACTTCACCTACAATTGCAGGTACCATCTCTACACTTACTACTTTAAAGTAGCTGACTCTGTGCGTCAGGTGAACAAGACCGTGTAATCCGTAGAATAGTTCCGGTCTCATGATGAACGCTTTGGAGCATGAAACTTGAGTTGAGCTAATTCTGTCCGCCTAATTTTTGTCTGTAACTGCAGGGTCCATCGATCTCTCAAGGGAAAGTGCCCCATTGAGGTGTACTTGAGAAGGCCCAACTTCAGCATCTTTGTTGAGCCTTCTCGCACACAGCTGACTGAAGATGAACGCCAGTATCTGGATGAGGCTCACCTTGATATTGACGGTGACTCTGATGTTGACGATAGCAGTGAGTTTCTTAATCTTGATTAGCAATATATCCTCTGCTTTCTCAACATGTATTTGTTGAAAGTACATGTACATGCATGCTGGCTGATCAGTTGTGTTCAGTCATTCTTTTAATTTTGGGGCTGTGTGTTTTGTGCGGTGGCTTGTAGGTGTATCCAGTGATGTGCTTGGAATCACGGGCCCAGCTTATGATGCCTCCCATGCCCTTGGAGGTACGCTCGCTGCTGCAAGCATCTGTGAGCCTGGGTTGGAGGTCGTTGATAGTAAGCAGTGATGTCTCTAATGACTAGATCTTTATTCTACTTTTAATAATTATTGAACTTTTGTGGATATCATTAAATGTGGGTTTCTTTTCGACTCTCTCGTACACACCACAACAACAACAATAGAACTGCAGGGTCGCAGCAACAGCTGCTCCAATTCTTGCACCGCATGTGTATTAATATTACTATGCCACAGGCACACAGCATTTAAACATAATCATGGCAGCCTGGTACACATCACTTTAGCATAACAAAAGGAAAACAACGCAAGACAGCAAGCGATCCAAGCCATGGGACAATGGATACATGAACTTCCGATCGAAATGCGTTCACCACGGCCTAGTGCACTGATTAATGGGAATTGCCGCCAGCGACAATGGTGGAGATGCTGAATAACCCCAAATGGGCCAGTCTAAAAAAAAAAAAAGCCAATGTGCTACCTTAATACAGAATTATCTGAAATTGGCCCACACACGGAAACATGCTCGCCACATACACGCACTACTGCTTACTCAGCCAATAAATCCATATGCACATACATATCTAGCAATGGCTATCCAATTGGGTGGGCGGGTGGGATTCGCAACTGTACAGCAGCAGTGCAAGAACAAAAAGAACACTGTCTTCAGACCAGCATGCACCTTCATGTGCATGCTGCAACTCCGCACTGTGCAGCCAGTGCGTACCACACTCCCAGCACAGTCCGTGAACTCTGGACTGTGCACTCGCGTTTCGAAAAGAACAGCATTTCTTGTTTACTTCGTTGCTCTCATCCAACAAGAAATGAGACATTTCTTTTCGACTCTCTCGTACACACCACAACAACAACAATAGAACTGCAGGGTCGCAGCAACAGCTGCTCCAAGAAGCACAAAGCATAGCTGGCGGCATATAGACTGCCAAGCAGCGAGACATGCGTTCTGGCTGTTGACTTGACTTGCCTGTAGCACACAGTCGGAGAACAGCATGATCACTTCTGCGCCACTGACTGCCTCCTCCCCCTTAGCTCGATTGCTTGTAGCGTCCGCGCTCGGCTGGCTCTGCCGCAGCACCTTGAGTCATAATTGTAAGCCTGTAGCTTTCACCCTTATCATGCCTGCTGCTCGGGTTAACACCTGTAGTGTCCATGTATGCCTGTAGCACAACTCCGTGCATGACCGTATGCACCACTCGCAACATACACACCACACAGAAACAATGCAAACGGACGCTTAATGTCACATGTAACCATCGACAAAATATTAAATTCAATGTGTGGCCACCCAGACCACGGTGACGAACATGAAAACGAATACAACGATACTTCAACATTGCCTGTCATCATAGCTGTAGTGACATCCTCGGCAAGTGCTCCAATCGCTCTTCTACACCTCTCTCATAACAACGATTACAAAGCGCCTGGAGGCCGCTCGCCCGTGCAACATTACGTGCGTACCTATGGTGTTCTCTAAATTCTGGCTAGCACACTTAACTCATGGACTCACCTCTTTGCGAAGCTAGTGCTCTGGGTGCAACTTCTAGTTGATACATCTGTACGTGTTAACCGGGGAGCTTATAGCTGTATGTGTGCCTATAGCACTTGCCCTACCGCACCTGTAGCATGGAGGCAAACTTCCGCAAGCTCTCATTTCATGCACCGTCAGACATACTCAGGCTCTCCCGCATACAAACACGCGCCAGGTATGCTGTCAGCAATCACAGCCACTAACTGCGCACAATTTCAAAGCAATGATCTCGGACTTCGGCATGCCGTAACCAAACAAATTCCATGGGCATGACCCCTGCAAGAATGTATTCTCATCCTTTGGCAACCACACGCACTCTTTCACAAATCCGTACCACGCAGCTCCGTCATGCAATTTTGGCCACCATGGGGCTGACCGCCACTCTGGTACAACAAGAGTGCCATGGGTTCTGCATGCTAGCAGCATATCGATTGTACGTGAAATAAGGTAGATAGGGGGAACCATCCACACCCTTTCAATGGACCAATCCACTGTGAACGCATCAATCGCAAAGCACTCTGGGTTCCACCACCGGGAGCAGTACTTACTGAGCTGCTTAGTCTTAAAACTGGCAAAACAATCTAGGCTGTAGGGGCCCCATCTCCCCTCCATTTCGCGGAATAATGCAGGGTTCAATTGCCAATCGTCTTGGTCAACAACCTTCGAATAATAATCAGCCAGCTCGTTCTCTTCCCGAGGTACCCATTCTGCCCTAATCCTCACGCTAAAACGCCTGCACAATTTGTGTATTGCCATAGCTTCCTCTTGCAAATGCTCTTTGCGGCTACCGTTTTCGATAATGTGTGCCGCTGCCTGGTTGTCTGTGCGATGTATGCAAGCCTTCCCAGCAATCTTTGGTGCCAATGACTCCAGAACAAGCTTAACAGCCCTAAGCTCACGCCAAGTAGAACTTAGTCTCTTTTCTTTGATTTCACCTGGCCATTCACCCTTCGCAACATGCACACCCAACCTCCCCTCCATGAAACCTCCCCAGCCAGTGTCGCTGGCATCTGACCAACAGATAACTACAACACGTGGGTCCTTCTTCCAGAAAGGCTGGCCATGCAATTTGTCAAAAGATTCTTTCCAGAACTTCAGGTCATCAATTGCCTCCTTTGACCAAACTGTTTGAGCTGCCCATGACTTCCTCAATAGGATCATGTGGTAGAATGCTCTAGTCCTCAGCCTGCAAATCTGGCCCAGGGCCAGCGACATGGACATTATCATTCCAGTCATCCTTGCTACCAGCTTAGCTGATGGTTGCCTGCTACCTGACATTGTGCTGAGCATCGACTTAAGCTTTTTAACACGCTTTTCGGAGGCTCGGATGGCTCCAACGCGTAGGTCAACCACCATACCCAACATCTCTACAACCTGAGAGGGCTCCCAACGGCATTTCTTTTCATTAGCTACAAATCCTGCGTTTTGGAGATCTTTCTTCATTTGATTTGCTACCTTGTGAGCACCTGCTTTGGAAGCATGTCCTCCCGACCCATCGTCCATGTACAGTTGGCAACGTATACCCATTGCCCTCCAACGACGCACTAGCACCCTGGTTACCTTTGTAAAAATGTAAGGGGCGGTTGACAAACCAAACGGCAAGACGCAAAACGTATAGTATGCTGCTTTTCCCTGGGGGGTTACCCAACTGAAACCAAGATACCTCCAGTGGCTTTCTGCTATAGCAATGTGGTGGTAGCCACTCTTCAAGTCGAATGTAACCAAGAAATCGTTCTTCTCATATACATCTGCCACCACCTTCAAATCTTCCAGTTTGAACTTGAATTTAGCCAGGTGTTTGTTGAGGTACCTTAGGTCCAGAATAAGCCTCAGCTTCTTCCCATTATCCACCACTCCCAACGGGCTACACACTGACACTTGGTCTCTGTTAACCTCTTTAATACAACCGCGAGAACGCATATCTGAAATGGCCTCCCCGACAAAATCTGGAAACTCATGTGTACTTTTGTGGTTGTCTGACCACCTGGGCCTTGGCAATCTAACAAACGGCAGCGTGTATCCATTATTGATTACTTCAAGTACTAACTTTGGTGCTCCGATTTCTTCCCAGAACTGCACGTTTTTCTTTAGACTGCCAATGACCACCCTGTCCCGGTCCCCTCCGAACTCCCCATCCACGCTATGCAACATAGAATAGGTTTCAGCGTCTAATTCATTGCTTTGAAATGACATATCATAGTCGTCAGCTGCACAGGGTTCAGGCATTTCGCGGCTGGCTAGCTGCTTGCCGGCGGGGACACACGCGAATGTAGTGGCCTGTTTCGCCGCAATGGTGGCATGCAAGTTTGCATTGTGGGCACCCCACCCCTTGGCCGACTGGGACGCAGTGCGGGGGAGAAAGGGCTGCTTGGCTTTTGGCGCAGGGGGGGATTGGATGGCTGCCATTAGCCTTTTCCTTTTCTGCGGGCACCCGACAATCCCCAGCATCTCGCCACCCTCTGCAAACGTTTTGGCTGCCTCGTGCCCGTGTGCATCTGCAATGACCAGCCACTCTTGCCTATCCCGCAACAAGTTCTCACCTTGCTTGGTGGCTCGCCTTGCCCTGTCCACCTTCCTCTTCCCTAGAGCAGCACGCACTTCGCCGAGCTCTTCCAGCACAGCAGCGTTTGTCTCGTACTGTCTCTCGTACGAGGGGTTCTTCCACCACCTCGACGAGGTTGACTGGGGACACGCGGAACGACTTCTCGAGTTTTTGGCCTTTTTTGATTTTTTGCGACGACGGCGAGACTCGGGAGATGACGATGAAGACGGGGATGACGACGGAGACGAACAGGGGGAAGATGAGGATGATGATGAGGATGATGCCGACGACGATGGGGACCGACGACGACGGCGGCTTGACCGTTCCTTGGCCAGCGCCGATTCTAGGGCGCCGATCCTCAACTGCTGCTCCTGCAGTTGGGCGTTCGGTTCGGCTCCACTGTCGGAGCTGCTTACTTCAGGTCTGCTTGCTGAGGCAGGCAAACTACCTCCCCTGGAGGACCTGCTCCGGCCTCTTGGGGTGGAGGATCGTCCACGTCCAGGCATGATCAGACAGATTACACTAAAGAAACGAAGAGAAAAGCACACGCAGCGAAAATTCGCAACTGTACAGCAGCAGTGCAAGAACAAAAAGAACACTGTCTTCAGACCAGCATGCACCTTCATGTGCATGCTGCAACTCCGCACTGTGCAGCCAGTGCGTACCACACTCCCAGCACAGTCCGTGAACTCTGGACTGTGCACTCGCGTTTCGAAAAGAACAGCATTTCTTGTTTACTTCGTTGCTCTCATCCAACAAGAAATGAGACATGTATTGTCCCTGGAGAGTGATTGTGTTATGTTTACGATCACTAACTATACTATTGTCTCCCTGTGCAGATGTGTGTGGCAATGCCCTTAGCACAGCAGGTGCAACCTCATGTGCACCTAACTTTGAACTGGCAGCTGGTAAGTTGACAAAATAACGCTGATTATGATGACGTTGTGCTTTTCCAGTGTCATGTTGTTTGTTGTTTGTTTACAAGCTGTTTGAGTTTATTTGTCTTATTCACGAATTGATGGTTCTTTTGTTTCCTGTATTTTTAGATTACGACATGGATCTTGAGCCTTTGGATTCTCAAACAATCAACACAGGAAACTCATATGAGTGTGGTACGTGTACAGAAAATTGAATTACGACAATATGATTTTTGTGAACTCTCACTAATGTAGTTACCATATTTCTATACTTTTGTATGCCAAATGTTTCTATTTCCACTCGAAATCGTGTGTCTTGCACTTGCTTCATTCATGTAGGTCCACATGTGCCTAGCACAGCCATATCAGCTGCATGTTCAGACTCAGCAACCTCGTGTGAACAAGGTAGGTTGCTTTATTCATTTTTTGCAGCACCATCTAACATGTGCTTGTACATACATAAGTCCTATGAGTGTGGTACTTGTACAGAAAATGGAATTACGGCAATATGATTTGTGTGAACTGGCAATGTAGCTACTTGATTTCTGTCCTTTGTTAAGAAAAAGTTTCTACTTCCACCCTGAATATGGTGTCTTGCGCTTGCTTCATTCATGTAGGTCGACATGCGCCTACCACAGCCGTATCAGCTGCCTCTTCAACCTCACCAACCTCGTGTGACCAAGGTAGGTTGCTTTATTTATTATTTGACACACCATGTATTTTTAAACAGATTTCCTTGTCAATACCTATCTCATCTACAATGAGTATCTTCTTTTTTTAACAAGTGTGCATTTCATGAGTTTTTACCAATGTTTTATTTAATTGCGCTTTAATTCTTGTGTCTTTTCAGATGAAGCGTATGGTGACGCAGATTCCTATCCTGTTGAACTTCAATGGGCGAATAACCCGGAGGGCCGGACAGAGCAGGCCCAGTATGCTGTGGGTGAAACCGTGTGGTTTTACCGCGCTGCCAATCTTGGCGGTGCTGCAGGTGTGGCTGCCCTTCGCCCACAGTGGCGCGAAGGTGTTGTCGTTCGCCATGATATGCAGGAGGGAGGATTCCTCCTGTATGAAGTTGAGGCCGATGATGGTGGAGCCAAAGCTTCCTTCGCAGAGGCTCATCTGCGGCCTCGTCACGTTTCCCCTGTGCACGTTTGGCACAACCAGTTTCTGGACCCCGTGCCAGAAGACTGGTACAGGGGTCCAGAGCCATACCGAGGACCCGCTCGCAAGCGGTATTATCGGTGATGATCTGTGTAAATACTAGTACTACTAGTACTGTTCTTTCAATCTAACGAACACCTCGATAGGCATATTGCCTTTGGGTCATTTCATAATAATAACAATTCTCTGCATCAATTGTGCCTCTTTTCATTGTTCTTTTCTGTCCTGTAAATAAATCCTTGGCTCTCCATCAGAGCCTATTCCCTTTCCGGTTCCTGGTTCTTTCTTATTGTTTTCTTACCGTGTGGGTGGGGGTGCCTGTGTGTGTGTGTGTTTTAATTTTGGACTGTGTATAGTGAATGCCTAATCGCCTGGTGTTGTCCACGTTAAGACTCATTATAGTTGATTTCAAAGTTTGGACTCTGTACAGTGGATTTTGGACCAGTGGACTCTATATAGGGTGAAGTCAATTGGCTGGACTCTATACAGGGAGTGATGTTTATCTAAACTTCGAGCTCACAGTTGGTTCCAAGTTTGGACTCTGTACAGTGGATTTTGGACCAGTGGACTCTATATAGGGTGAAGTCAATTGGCTGGACTCTATACAGGGAGTGATGTTTATCTAAACTTCGAGCTCACAGTTGGTTCCAAGTTTGGACTCCGTACAGTGGATTTTGGACCAATGGACTCTATATAGGGGTTGGACATCATATAGGGGCTGGACGCTCTACTGAGTCCAACATACATGTAGCTAATTATGGTTTCAGGTAGAAATACAGCAGCTAACAAGTACAAAAAGCGAAGTTTGCACCTTTGCAATGTGTGAATATAGTGTATGTGAGAAAGGTAGTGGCAGATGAATGTGATACTGTGTGAATGAATGTAATGGTGCGTGTGTATTACTTGAAGAGTGTGAGTGATACAACGTTTTCTTTCTGTTTACATAGCACAGGGTCACGAGTACGAATATACACAGCTTCCAACACCTGCAATTGCTTGAAGAAACGTGCGCAACGAATAACACTAAAAAATTTCTACCTGAAACCATAATTAGCTACATGTATATAAGTGTGTGTTTTAGTTATTACATTTTTATGTGACGGCGTTCCACTGATGACAGTCACAAGAAAACGTTATGGAACTTGACTTTCTTCATTTTTGCTGTTGTTATGAGTGCACAATTTATCTTATTTATTGCCATTTTATGTATATACATGCATTCATTGTTTCGTCTCATCATTATGGAGCAGCTTATGCGAAGGCTAGCCAAGCTTGCTTGGCGATGCCAACGCGGAAAAGCCTATAATAATAGTAATTATAATTTTACAAGAAGTCGGAGGCGGATAATACTTTAATAACGAAGGTACGTGTTGGGTCGTAAGTATCCACGCAAACACACATCCAGTCAAAATAAGGCACTTGTCAAAGTATCCGAACGTTTTCGGTCCCTTCTCATCAAGGATTATACAGGGAATGGCTCAAGTTGGAAAGACTAAAACTTATATAGCGTAAAGATATGAGATAACAACACTCGTGACAAGGTGGAGAATTATCAAGTTCAGCACGACACAAAACTCGAAGGAAATAATAATAGTGACAAGAACATAGTGAGCAAATTAAGTTACATTGTTAACACCTCGACGAGGAGTAACACCAAACAATTGTAGCGACAACACATTTTCTTTCTGTACGCAAAGCTCAGGATCTAACTTACGGATATACAAAGCTTCTAACACAGCCAGATGCAACGCACATCTACCACGTGACAATATTGAGAACACATTATCACTGTACAACTCACGACAATTGGTACGGGCTGACAGATGTTGCTTGATTGACGAAGTGCGATTCTTAGCTCCGTTGGGTGTTGTCTCCTCCAATGTCCCGTCATCTCGCCTCTTCGCGGCATCACAACTATCCGTCTCTTTGCTTTTCCGCGGCCTTCCACGTTTTCTGACACTAGCCGTTGTGTGCGCGATGCCGAGTGTCCTTTCAGCTACGTCTCCTCCATTGCGGATTTCTATTGAGCTTCTTACTCCAACTTGTCCGGTGTTCGATATTGAGGTTCGTTTTCGCGGTCTACCACGTTTTCGAATATTGACTGTTGTTGTCACTTCCGTTGTCGTTGTACGTGCGTCCTCACCAGTCCGTATTTTTACATTTTTACTCAGTCCGTGCCAATTGTCGTGAGTTGTACAGTGATAATGTGTTCTCAATATTGTCACGTAGTAGCTGTGCGTTGCATCTGGCTGTGTTAGAAGCTTTGTATATCCGTAAGTTAGATCCTGAGCTTTGCGTACAGAAAGAAAATGTGTTGTCGCTACAATTGTTTGGTGTTACTCCTCGTCGAGGTGTTAACAATGTAACTTAATTTGCTCACTATGTTCTTGTCACTATTATTATTTCCTTCGAGTTTTGTGTCGTGCTGAACTTGATAATTCTCCACCTTGTCACGAGTGTTGTTATCTCATATCTTTACGCTATAATTATAAGTTTTAGTCTTTCCAACTTGAGCCATTCCCTGTATAATCCTTGATGAGAAGGGACCGAAAACGTTCGGATACTTTGACAAGTGCCTTATTTTGACTGGATGTGTGTTTGCGTGGATACTTACGACCCAACACGTACCTTCGTTATTATAATAATAATAATGGCATGGCTCATGTTATGGCTGGCAGCATGACTTTACAATTTTGACAAATATATGAATTTTGGGACTATCAGACTTCCCAAAGCATTGAACCCAAAACCTGACGGAAAGGAAACCGGTGACAACCTCTGCTGAGCTTCAGTGAGTCAAATGGCCATGTAGAGTCTCTCACTGGCTGAATGTGTATGCCTCTATCTATTGTCATATACAGGAAAACCCTCCTACTGTGAAAGCTATTCTCCCATCCAGAATGGCAACGTTAACTGTTCAGGCCGGCGAATCCATGACATCTGTCAGTATCAATGTAATTATGGATATGTAAAGGAGCGCACTTCTTCCATTCGCTGCATACCGAACACCGAGGTCAATGGTAGATGGTCGGAACGAGGATCATGCAGCCGTAAGTACCCCGTGCATCCTTGAGATAAAGCATTGATGAAAAGTATAGGGAGTTGAGATAAAGGGCACTTAACATGTTGGCTGGGTGATGGGGATTTCCCATATTTCAGGCTTTCACGCGTGTATTGGTGAGTTGTGCAGATCATATAGATCCTCCAAGTCAATCAGTGCACGCTGTTGTGTTGCAGACACTGGTTTATGCAAGTACATAATTATGATTGGGTTTCACAGATGTCGAAACATGAATGCATATGCTTTGAAGTACTGTCACACTCATTTCTTTAATCTTGACGTTATGCCGCATTTACTTCTATAGCAAGCACAGGATTATACCAATAGTATCCATGGTCAGGGCACTGCTTGTCGTATTTCTCATCATTAAAAAACCAGGCTTGTAGCCCCAGGTCCATTTGGAGTGGTTCCCGGCTACAGTAGACTCGTACGCTCAAGAACGCGGCGCCCAAGAACGTCCAGGCTGGAAATCTAAGAACGCCCCAGCCTGGATTTAAGAACGAACTCCAAGCCGGTTTGTTTTGCAAGCGGATTGCACCTTCATGATCTTGTCCGAGTACACGAAAAACAAGTCCGCAACCACAAACTTTTGTCGGGTCCTCGCGAAAACATAACCCAGTGCAGCGCTACATACTACACGTGCATGTAAAGTGTACAACCAGTACATGTAGCGCAAAGTGCATTGTACATGAGCGTCACGGGTCATGTTGGACGCGTAAGAACGCGAAATGAGAACGTAGTCTGGGGCGCTGAAAAATAAGAACTTTGCTAGGCTGGCCCTCTGAAACCGCGTTCTTGGGCGTACGAGTCTACTGTATGTAGTTCCGGCGGCATGCCTGGCACCAGCCCACATTGCACCAAACTTGGCAGAGTCACTTGGTTGCTGAGAAAGTCACGGGTCAGTCTACCTACACCCCTGCAACCTATCCTATTGGATCGGACTGGGACCACTTATGATCGTATGTCACTTGTTCTGCATGCTCCAGGATTCTTCCTCCATCTTTGCTTGTTTTACCTGTTCAGTATTTCTACTGAGTCTCCAGTGGCGGATCCAGGGGGGGGGGGGGGGGGGAGGGGGGTTCCGGGGGTTCCATGGAACCCCCTAAATTTTGCAAAGTGTACTGCTGAGAAATATCGGAAAATGTCATGTGTGCACAAAACTTCGTCCGTGCGTCCGATCACAGTGCAGTCACCGAGTCAAGGAGTGCAGTGCACTGCATGCGGTAGATCGATACTGTACGTAGTCTGTACTGGCGTTCACGTCTGTGATTTACAAACGGACACTGTAGTGTAGACAGCATTGGGTGGTTGTTTCCTTTTTGATCTTTGGAGACGATCCAAACTTACCTCCATTGCCATTGGCGCTGTCGTCACTGCTGCTCTGGATGGGTGTGGTCAGTATTCCTTGGACAAGTTTTTTTCCGGAAGAGAAAGGATGTTCCGATTGATGACACTCTTCAACGAACTTCGAATCGTACACGTAGAGTTCAAGCTCCTCAGAAGATGAGGGCTCCGACATCCAAGCAAAGTCAGTAACCTCTACCTGCTGCAGCATGCAGTAGTGACTAGTTGTTCCTCCGCAGCAACGGAGTGCTGCGCCAGCGATGTGTTTTAGATGGCATTGGAAGGATTACAACTCTCACCTGCAAAGTCTCGACCGAGTACAGCGGAAGGCCCTTGCTATCATTGGTCCTGATGCCTTGCTGCAGAGCCTAGCTGCCCGCCGCCAAGTGTACGCTCTCACGTACATGTACAAGCTAATGTGCCTTCAAGACCATCCAGATCTCTCTGCGCTCGTGCCGCCTCGCCAGGAAGCTAGCCTCGTCCCGCGGACAAGGTCGCAGCTCCGTGTCCGCCACCAGCATCAGCTACAAGCAGTGCTCCTCCCTACGGCCCCCAACTTTCTCCAGCGTTCGTTCCCATATGGTGTAGTGGATGAATGGAACAGGCTTCCGCAAGACATGTTTCCGGATCCGATGCCCCAGTTGAAGTCTCTCCAATCCTTCAAGACGAAGGTCCATCGCCACTTGCGTCAAAAGAATTGGCTCTGGGCTACGGACTCCCTGTGAGGCTATGCCACCCGTCAATGAGCAACTACCCTCGTCCATCATCTCTTTCTTGTTTTATATTTATTTCTCTTCTCATCTCTTTCTTGTTTTATTTTATTTCTCTTCTCATCTCTTTCTTGTTTTATTTCTCTTCTCATCTCTTTCTTGTTTTATTTTATTTATTTATTTCTCTCTCTCTCTCTCTCTCTCTCTCTCTCTCTCTCTCTCTCTCTCTCTCTCTCTCTCTCTCTCTCTCTCTCTCTCCCTCTCCCCCCCCCCCTCTCTCTCTCTCTCTCTCTCTCTCCCTCCCTCTCCCCCCCCTCTCTCTCTCTCTCTCTCTCTCTCTCTCTCTCTTTCTCTTTCTCTCTCTCTCTCTCTCTCTCTCTCTCTCTCTCTCTTTCTCACTTGATCTCCCTCCCTCCCTAGCTGCATTCCTAACGATGCCTGGTCGTAGGCTATGATTCCGAGACCTCCGGTCGGATGAGCCTCGCCAACCACATCGGCACATCGCCCCTACTCCCCTTTGTCTTGTTGTCCAGCGTCATTTCAGTTGTCCTCTTCCCCTGATTATTAGTAGGGCTGTGTTTCGCTTTTGTTGTTTCTGTCAAGTGAAGACAATGCTCCTGTGATTATAGAGCATTTTGCATCTTAAAAATGCTAAAAATTTCCCAAAGTACAAACGGACAGGGAAAGTTGTCATTTCGGCATTTCATGCTCTCAACGTACCCATGGCTTGCATATTCGATCTTTACAAGAAGTTGAAAGGGTCTTCAAGCCCTCACTGAACCTGTGTGCCAGTTGATTGCAAACAGGATTATGTGTCCGTACTAAATATATACAATGAAGGGTAAGCAGCAGCATTTGGCCCTGTACAGGTTTTCCATCGTCCACCACACCACAACTGCGCTCTCCAGCGATGGTGCAGTGGTGGTATGCTGTGGCAACGTGGAGAGCGCAGTTGTGGTGTGGTCGATGATGGAAGAATATGTGTCCGTAGTGTGTTTTAAAAGCATGCGACTCCAACTAACACAATCGGATTGTCCTAATTACAACCGCACAACTTCAATACAATCTGATTCCATAATATTTTGGCTGTTCAATTTTGGTTCAACCGGAACCCCCCTGTAGAGATCTCTGGATCCGCCCCTGGTCTCTCTCCTCTTTGCCGTGTCCAATCGTAGCAGTATGGGTTGTAGAGACAGAAGCTATTGCACACCCTATTCATGTGCTTTGTTCAGTATGGTGCCGTGGTTGAGCTCTAAAGCGTGACATTCAAGGAGAGGCTCTCAATCGGTCAGTGTCCCTACTAGGTTCTTCAAGACGGTAGCATGTGTTACAGTCTGTCCAACCTTGCCACGTTCCAAAGCAGGACACCCATATAAAATGTACACAAAGGCAATTGTCTCCCATGTAAATGTACACAAATGTTTTGGTCCAAAGTAGGACAGTTGGACAGCCTGGTGTTATGCGATTTGTGTGGGTTGGCAAAAGTGCAGTGTGGCGTGATGGGTGAACACGCCCAAGTCTGCTCTCAAACTTATTTCAAAAGAATACATGTGCCACTATTCTACGTGCCTTGATTCAGCAATCAACGACTACTGTGAGATTACGCAGATCCATGCACCACTCTATGGCCGCATAGAAGCAAACTCCACCCAGCTGAATGACATGGCATACTTCCAATGTGTGGACGGGTATGATATGAATGTCACGGCCAAGCCTGTGAAATGCATAGTGTTGAATCAAACCCATGGTCAATGGTCAGACTACACCACTCCAGAGTGCTTTCGTAAGTCATTATCCAATGAATTTCCACTTCGTCTTGTTTAAAGTCCATTCTTATGTCTTTCTTCAATATTCGGAAGCACCGCTGCAGCCAATAAATCACGTCTTTCAAGTTTCACCACCACCACCGCAGCCGCCGCCGCCACCACCACCACCACAGCCGTACACTGCAATTTCAGTTGTAATGCTCTCCAATGTTTTTCCCTTGGAACTTCATCAGGGAGTATTTCAGTTTATTTGTATTTTTTTTATTGTTTTGTAGTATGATCATATTGCCATTACTTGGCTCAAGTCCTTTCACATACAAATATACCATGAACTGTAAACATTAGCAGGGAACTTGGGGAAATGCTGGCCTTTTTTACTTTCCTGGCAGCGTTTTGAGAAAAAGTGAATTCAGTGACTCAACATCCATGCAATGTCAACAGCACTATTGCTACTGACTAACATTTACTAGACAAAAATCTGCAATAGTCATGAGATTATTCCCTCTCTTGTGATTGTGGCTGGTCCCGGATTGGTTTGCCATGGGTGGGTGTTCTCACTCACAAAGTGACTCGCATGTACACATGTCAATGCTGTGTCTGTTCTAGTTCCGGCATCGATCGCCATTCCACAACAGGATGTTACTGCAACTATCTCCACCCATGTTACTCTAAGATGCCAGGTTGTCGGCACGAATATCACCCTCTCATGGCAGAGAACCGAGAGTAGTGAGCACTCGTGGGACGAGTTAGGCTACCAAATCACCAACAAGAGTAATATACATCACAATATGACAGATTCTCAGCTGGAAATCAGCAGTGTCCGCAGAGCTGATGGAGGTACATACACCTGCAGTGCTTGGAATCCCATTAGCAGAGCACAAAAGAGCATCACACTCATTGTTCAAGGTAAGGTTGAAACTTTGTAGGGCTGGTACTGAAGCTTGTGATGCACCGCACAAACTGATTAGTTTGCTACAGTATCAAGTGAAGTCACTACAGTAAGACGTCGCTTAACCGCACACGTCCATTTTCCACAAAAATATCCGGATACGCGAGGGAACCGGATAATCGAACACACATACTGTATGTGTGCATGGCATATGCTGTAAATCGGTAACCAGCGATTTTCTTCCGGATGGCGAGGGATCCGGATAAAAGAGGGCCGGATAAGCAAGGTCTGACTGTATACACACACACACACACACACACACAATACCTGCCTGCTAGATACACACACACACAATACCTGCCTGCTAGATACACACACGCACAATACCTGCCTGCTAGATACACACACACACTCAATACCTGCCTGCTAGATACACACACACAATACCTGCCTGCTAGATACACACACACAATACCTGCCTGCTAGATACACACACACACACACAATACCTGCCTGCTAGATACAATTTCGAGGAACTGCTTCGGTATCTATGCATCTGGGAAAATCAATATCTGTCTTACTCGGCACGCTTTGTGACATTTGCGGCTAGGATAGGAGAACTCTCTTATACCAGGTCCCAGGGGTTCCTATTACAGTATGTCAGTATGGTTTCTAGGCAAACCAAACCCATCATGCACAAGCAATGTATCTCTTCCTCAGCCTCATCCAAGCACTATCATCCAATATCCGCCATGTAGTCTATCTCCTGTCTATCTCTTTCCTGTGCTTTCCCCAAGAATATAATATCCCTCCGTATCATGTTGTGTCCTACTTACATCTATAAGTGTTGGAAGTATGGCTGTTACGGTGCTCAACTCATAGACACGTGGATCTGTAGTCAACACAAGAAGAAGCAGAGCTGTGCTATTAGTCTAGTTTGGTGTGCATTTGACACAGCAGAAAAATGGCACCGAGGAGCAAGAAGAGTGGAAAATAAATAGCAATAGCAGCTAGCGTTTTGAAATCTTCGCCATCCCCGAAACGCCTGCCTACATGTGAACAGGTCGGCAAGATGTCAAAACTCCAAAACGCAGAGATGTGACAATCGTCACTTCGTGCAGCAGAGCAAGATGAACAAGTTCAAAATAGAAGTCGTTCAGGCACTGCAGAGCCCAGACCTCACCTTGGATGATCTCGCCCTTTCCAGCAGCCTTGACTATGTGTCCTTGGTCGCAAAGGAGAAGGCGAGATCTGATCGCGGCAGTCGGGAAGTGCTGGTACGACTATGATATCAGGAAATTTTAAATGTTTGGCGTTGCCTGTGTTTGTTGTTCCGGGGCATCCTCGAGCAAGAACGGAGGCGGTAATGAGTAGATCTACCAGTGCTGGGGGGGGGGGGGGGGGGGGCTACCGGGGTCTCCGTCGAGATGTTGGAGAAGGCATTCAGGTAACAGTGAAGACGATCAGGGACGCGGAGAAGCTTCTCCGTGACATACGGCATCGCGTCGATCGATCTGCCACTTGGAACAGTATCAGCGGTGATGATTCGAGCAATGGCGACCCAGACTGAGACTGAGACTCTACTCCCTCTAATCAATCTTGTAGATATTGTAGATATGTCAATTGAATGTGTTGAAGTGTTTCTCTCCAACAGATCACTTTTGTTGGGCACAGTATTAAACTCCTTGAAAAGTCATGTCAAAAAGTCACGAAGTTGTTGTTTCCGGAGGAAGTATCTATCTATCTATCTATCCATCCATCCATCCATCCATCCATTCATCCATCCATCCATTCATCCATCTATCTATCTTTTTCGTTCTCTCTCTCTATCTCTTTTTTTTTGATTTTACGATAATTATTGGTGAACAGGTTTAAGTTGCCCAGATCAAGGGCAGCTTGCCAATGGATATAGCACATTGACAGGCCAACACTTTGGTAGTGCGGTAACATATCGATGTCATACAGGCTTCTACTTGCTGGGTTCTACAAGTGGTGTTGTTACTGCACGTTGCATGTCCAACAGAAGGTGGTCTCATGATAAACCCGCTTGTTTGCGTAAGTATTATTATTATTACTTGCATGTACGCGTTGGAGTCAACCATGCAAGCATGATCCACAACTTCGCTTATGCTGAACATGATAAACAGGACTATGACAGGGGAAAAAATGAGCTAGAACGATGATAATAATAATTATGATACTTATATCATATATATTATATACAATGTAGCTCATGGGTATTGAAGATATGTCATTTATGAATATGTCCATAATATGAATATTGCAGCCTGAGTGATAATGATAGTGCTATTTCCTGAGTTTGACTGTTTCAGGATCTGTCGGAATATCACAATGCACAGACCCTCATGCATAGATCTCGCCATGCTGGTCTGTCATGGGCAATGGCTCCCAGGCTCTGCAGAGCGTCTACTATTGAACAATCGATCCAGCATTGGCTTGGCGCAGATCTCCCACCATAAAAACTACAGCCGCGAACCACGTAGTGGAAAGCTACAAAAGATGGCCAACCCATTTTCACATGTACAGACAATTTGCAAAAAGCGTAAGTACAAATTCATTTTGTATTAGGTACAGGTTGGAGTATTTTCCATCCCGAAACCTTTCAGATATGTAGCACAGTCCAAATATGGAATTGCATATGTTGGACTCACTATAAAGTCCATGCACTATATGATGTCCAGCACCCTATATAGAGTCCATTGGTCAAAAAATCCCCTATGCAGAGTCCAGGAGTCCGCTCAGTTTTGATGAGCTTCATCCAGCCGCGCAATCCCCTATAAGGAGTACACTGTTTCCAGTCCAGGAGTCCAGTTTATCCAGTCTGGAGGAAAAGGAATTGTATGCTACCATGGGGAGTGATGTCCATCTAAACTTTGAACTTACAGTTGCGTATAGTGGATTTTGGACTAATGGACTCTATATAGGGGGTGGATAGGGGCCAGACGCTCTACTGGGTCCGAAATTTATTATCAAGAGTCCGTAAACAAGAGTATGCGACTGTGATCTCTTTTCTATGGGCCACATGCGCGGCGCGCTGCCTTCATTACATCATTCAGCTGCAGTCCGTGCACTGCGGAAAATCAAACACCGCACTTTCCCTCTGGTTTGAAATGAACTTTTGTATGGAACTGGAGTTCACGCGCCAACATTTAGAGATCGCGTAGGTACTGGAACGAATCGAGTAAAAACGGATGGGCTTGTACGAAAAATTGTGGGTTTGGGTGCATGCTTTCGGAGCGTGATGGAGACAAGTTACGTAACGAAGGCAGCGCGCCGCGCACTGACCCATAACCATGTTTGCATACTCTTGTTTATGCACTCTTGATATTATGTGTTGAGCAGAGGTGCTACTCATGCAACAGAGGCATACCCTATGATCAGTACTAATCAACTTCCAACCATGCTTTTTTTAAATCCACACAATCCGTAATCTAAGATGTAGGGATTTGTTTCCGGGTATCGAATCACATTTTTCCACTGCATTCCTCTTTTCAAAAGTCACCCGTACATATAGAAACAACACTTCCTCAGAACGGTGCAGCAACCTGGATGCAGTTTTTAATGCACCTTGTGTTTCTCTGTGCTTCTCTATGGAACAGCCCGGACATGTCCTGATCCAGGCAGTCCAACATCTGGTAGCTCCTCTGTTCGAATGGGAATACAGCGTGCCAGTCTGACACACTACCTGTACAACGACACTGTCACATGGACATGTGATATCGGCTATTCTACTACTGAACCTACTACTGCTGTGTGTCAGGCTAGTGGAGGATGGAGTAACAACCATCCAGACTGCAAACGTATGTCTTCTTTTCTTCTTCTTTTTTACAAGATAGCCAGAAACCATCATGGTGCAAACGCCGGCAAAAATAGACACAGAAATGCACATAGCGATGGCAGCCGAAGCAGTGGAGGCAGTGTGCTTGGCAGAATTGCTTGTCACGGTGATGTATATGGCATACTTCCGTATATGGTGCAACTCCCGCACCCCGTACCGTATGCACCCGCCTAGAGCTCCTGCTTCCATATGCGCTCGTACACACTTTCCTTGGTGTTCGTACACACTTCCCTTTTGTGTTCGCACACTGCTTGGAATGTTGTTCTTCGTTTGTTGTCCTCCTTGCTAGTTGTGAATAAACTCTATCTGACACCACATGGCGCAGTGAACATTTCGTCCTGTAGTTTCCATTCTGTCCACACCAACCTAGTTTGTAGTGTCTTACCTGGCCCAGTAGCAGTGTAGCACTCCGTTGGATTTGGATTAGATTACCCTGCAGTTAGTTTGTTAGTTCGTTTTAGATAGGAGTGTTGTTCAATTTATTTCGTAGGACGTAGTCGTGTGAGCTGTCACAACGAGCATTTGTGATCAGCATGGCGAGCAGCGATCCCGCAGCACCTTCTGGTAATGGAGTGCCTGACGTCGCCACGCTCCTGCAGCTCCTGACAACTCAGGCACAGGCGTCTGCACTGCGAGATCAGCAGTTTCAGACCCTGATGGAGAAGATGTCCAACCAGACCAGTACTAGTTCTACAACCCCACCCGCACCCAAGTCTGTGTCCGCAGAACGACCAGTATTGTTATCTACTGCCACAATGGCAGAATTTACCGCTTGGGAGGAGGCCTGGCGTGACTATGCGCAATGCCAATGTCTCGCCAGCCACGACCGCCATACACGTATGTCAGCGTTCCGCCAGGCCCTAGATGAGGACCTGCGCCGTTTCATCCGAGAAGGCATTATCGCCTTCCCGGAAGACGCTGACATTGCTGATGCCATCCCGGTCCTCCAGCAGTACATCCGGCGGCAGAGGAACCCGCTGCTCGACCGAATCGAATTTTACAAGAGACGGCAGCAGCGTGGGGAATCATTTGACTCCTTTTATACGGCCCTCCGTGAACTGTTTCACGCGTGTGACTTTTCTGGGTGTTCAGTATGTCATAACTGCAACCAGGCGATGTGCAACCCCTGCAAGGCAGGCCTGTTGAAATTCAACAACGACATACTACGTGACCGCATTGTGACAGGTGTATTTGAGGACGACGTGCGTCACAAGCTGCTGGCCCTCCAGAACTTGGATCTGGAGGCAACCGTGAAGCTCTGCCGTGCTGAGGAAGCAGCCTGCCAAACTTCCTCTGGCATTCCCTCCAGTGGTCACGTGCACGCAGCTAAGAAATCATCTTATAAACAGCAGAAGGCGAGCCGGCCCGCTCCCGTGAAGTCTACACCAGACAAGCCCGCAGGTGACAAGTGTCCCAGCTGTGGTCGCAGTCCCCACACCAAAGGCACATGTCCTGCGAAGTCACGCAAATGTAACGGATGTCAACGTGTCGGACATTTCCAGTCCATGTGCCCGCACAAAGGCAAACCAACAGCATCCGGCAAAGTCGGCCAACTTAAGTTGCGACGTGCCTCTGTTCGACATGGTCTAGAACTCAGTGTCCACACGCAGCTCAACACAGAACCGACCGCCGAAGCCATGACATGGATTCCAGACACCGGCAGTGATGTAGACGCCATTGGGCCAGCACATCTTTCCCAGCTAGGTGGCTTCCCTGAGAACCTTGCCGTCGATTCCGACACTGTTTCAGCAGCAAACGGCACCTCTCTGGTTAGCCTGGGAAAGATTTCTGCCACGCTCTCCATTGGCTCAGCCCAGCACACCACGGTACTTCATGTGTATGAAGACCTCGACGAGGCGTTGCTGTCATGCCAATCTCTCCGTGCTCTTGGCATTCTCCCTGAGTCCTGGCCGCGGATCTCCCGTGTGAAGTCCGAACCCAGTAGTGCAGACATTGCTGATGTTAAGGCTCAGCTGATGCAAGAGTTTGCTGATGTATTCGACGACTCCCAATTGAAGCCCATGGCTGGTCCTCCCATGGAGATAAAGCTTCAATCTGACGCCACACCAACTCGTGTTAATGGCGCCCGCGCAATCCCATTCGCATTCCGAGATCAGATAAAATCTCAACTGGACGATATGGTGATCAATGGAATTATTGAGCCAGTCACTGAACCGTCAGACTGGTGCCACCCGATCGTCATCGCAGATAAGAAGTCTTCTAACGAGAAGCGCCTCACCGTTGATTTGCGTAAACTCAACGACCAAGTCTGCCGACCAACACACCCAGCTCGTACTCCGCGTGACGCCGTGACAGCTATTGGTAAAGCCCGTTTCTTCACCACACTCGACGCTCGTCATGGGTACTGGCAAATAAGTTACCCCTGTCCGACGACTCGAAGCCGCTCACGACATTCATCACGCCCTGGGGTCGGTATCGCTATTGCCGCAACCCTCAAGGTCTGTCCTCAGCAGGTGACGAATTCAACTGCCGCACAGACGCAGCATTTGACCGCCTCGCTAACTTCGTCAAAGTCGTTGATGACGGCCTAGTATGTACATGACGTCGATTTTCAAGACCACGTCACCCACGTTCGTGACGTCCTTCACCGTGCCCGTGAGCATCACATTACGCTCAGCCCACACAAGTTTGTATTCGGTGCTAGTGAAGTACAGTTCTGCGGATTCGTTATCAACGCTGATGGTTATGCCGTTGATGGTAGCAAGACATCTGCCATTCGCCAGTTCGAAGTGCCCTGCAACCGCACTGACCTCCGCTCGTTCTTCGGTTTGGTCAACCAATGCAGCGACTTCACACCGCGCATTGCTGAACTAAGTGAGCCGCTTCGCCCACTCCTGAAAACCAGCAATGAGTTCGCCTGGGATCAGCAGCACACCATAGCATTCGAAGCCGTCAAAGCCATCCTGACTGAGTCACCAGTGCTAGCTTTCTTCCAGCCTGGCAAGCCTCTCCGTCTCGAGACTGATGCATCTGTGAAGAATGGCCTCGGATTTGCCCTATGGCAACAGCATGATGACCAGCAATGGCACCTCATCCAGTGTGGAAGTCGTTTCTTATCTGACGCTGAAACAAGGTACGCTGTAATCGAGCTCGAGTGCCTCGCAGTCGTCTGGGCAGTGCACAAGTGCCGCTTGTATCTATCTGGTGCACAGTTCTCACTAATCACCGACCATCGTCCGCTTGTTCCGATTATCAACAGCTACACCCTTGACCAGATTGAGAACTCTCGTCTACTCCGATTGATCATGAAACTTCGTCCGTATCAAGTGAAAGCATCGTGGCGTAAGGGTTCAGAGCACGTATTCGCAGACGCCCTCTCACGACATCCTGTATCAATCCCGACTAGTGATGATGAACTTGGAGAAGATCCAGCACTGTCCTGCCGCAGTATCCGTATCTGTCTACTCCAAGATGGTCCCCAGAGTCTCCGGTTCGCTAAGCTCCGTGCCGCAGCAGCATCTGATCCTGACTACCAGATGCTACTCGGGTATATCCAGAACGGATTTCCCTCAGCACAAAAGCAGCTGCCCGAGCCTCTTCGTGCGTATTGGAACGTGCGTGAACATTTGTCCACCGACAATGGCATAGTCCTGAAAGGTCTACGCATAGTCGTCCCAGCCTCTCTGCGTGCGTCAACGCTGATCGACCTTCACGCAGCCCACCAAGGTCTGACCCGTACCAAACGACGTGCTCGTCAGACAGTGTATTCCCGGAATGAACAGTGAGTTAGACACGCTAGTCCGTAGCTGTGATGCATGCCGTGAATTTCAGCCGTCTCAGTCTGCCGAACCGCCCATTTCTGACCGCAAGCCCACTTTGCCATTCGAAAGTGTTAGTGCTGACCTTTTCAGTTGCCAAGGTTGCGAGTATTTGGTATTCGTCGACCGCTTAACCGGATGGCCATGCATCGCCAAGCTTGGTCACTCAGCCACATCAGCTGACGTCATCCGTCATTTCCGCAGGTGGTTCCCAGATGTAGGCGTACCACAGGTCATTTCAACGGACGGCGGTCCTCAGTTTGCGTCTCACAGATTTGCTGAATTTTGCGAGCGCTGGGGAATCCGTCATATCAAGTCGTCCCCTCACTACCCACAGTCGAACGGACATGCGGAAGCAGCCGTAAAGGCAATGAAGTACCTGGTGGAAAAGACTACCAATGACGGTAATCTAGACACCGATGCTTTCCAGCGTGGCCTTCTCGAGTGGCGCAATACTCCTGGCACTTCGGGAAAGAGTCCTGCCCAGTTACTGTATGGTCGCCCACTCGTCTCCTTCGTTCTCGCCCAATGGAGCCAGTTCGACTCCCACTGGCAAGACACCGCATCTGACATGGATGATGTTGATCGAGTAGACCAGCCTCCCAGTCAGCCTCACCGAGAGCTTCCCCACTTGTCTATCGGGACGCACGTTGACATTCAGCACCCGAAGACAAAACGGTGGTCTTCCCGCGGCGTAGTCGTGGCTATCGGTGACCACCGCGACTACTACGTCAAGCTACCGAGTGGACGCGTATATTGGCGCAACCGTCGCTACCTCCGCCCGTACCGCCCTCCTACTCCAGCTTCAACAGCCATGCCTGCATCGTCTCCCGTACCCGACGCTGCACCGCAAGCAGTCCCTGTGACTCAGTCGTCGTCACAGTCAACTGTTCAGGTACCACCTCGAACAAGCCAACGTCCCCGGCGACAGAATGTCCCCTTTAACATTATTAATTTTCAACGCGTGGACAATCGTACAATTAACATTCGCTCTGTTCAGTTGTTGATGTCCATTGTACCTATTCAATTGTCATTCCCATTGTTTCGCAGTTGAAAACCTTCATGTATATAATTTTTGCAATTATCCCTTTTACAAGTCTGTTGGAAGTTGCTGCTGCTCCGCGACATGTCATTTGCTACGCACATGCAATTTTCACATTATTTTTTGTTGATTAGATAAACACTTGTACGTTTTTATCTTAGGAGGGGCATGATGTATATGGCATACTTCCGTATATGGTGCAACTCCCGCACCCCGTACCGTATGCACCCGCCTAGAGCTCCTGCTTCCATATGCGCTCGTACACACTTTCCTTGGTGTTCGTACACACTTCCCTTTTGTGTTCGCACACTGCTTGGAATGTTGTTCTTCGTTTGTTGTCCTCCTTGCTAGTTGTGAATAAACTCTATCTGACACCACACACGGCTGGCAGCTGTAGGCAGATCTGGCACCGATGAAGTAATGGGGGGGGGGGGGTATGCTGTCCCTGATGGGGCGACCAAACATGGGTGTTGCGGGTGGCTCGTCTGTGATGTCTCGCAGATGGACGGGTACACGGGATGGAGGATGGGCAACGGGTGCGGTGTAAGGCTGGATGGAAGTGTGAGCCTGGACATCCTGGATGCAGCCGAGACCGTGGGAACGGGAGTCGAAGCGGCTTAGAATTGCAGCAGTTTCAGCCGTGGGTGCATCTAGTGCGGTGTCTGAGGTAGCATAGGCGTGATCATTTGCTGGGCCGATGTGCAGCAATCCGAGGCGAGGGGCTGAGTCACGGCCGAGCAGCGTAAAGTACCGTGGAAGATGGACAATGGCAAATGTGCAGCTGAGGCTGTGCTGGCCATGTGCCACGGGTAGGTGAATATGATCGGCAAGTGGCAGGGGAGCAGACACGTCAAATGCATAGATTTTGGCGGCGGCTGGTGTGATCTGCTCGGCAGGTGCAATGCGGATGAGGTCGGCACGCATCATGATGTTGGCAGATGCAGTAGTAGGAGCAACTCTGTGCCATTGATAGTGGCGTTGACATGAGCACTGGTGGCCGCAGCATCACGGGAGTAATTTACGTAGGCCCGTCAGTCAAGTAGGAAATGAGGTGCCTGTGAGGGGTAAAATGGGTCCTGTAGGTTGGCTGCTGTGCCAGTACTAGTATGTGCAGTGTTAGGAGCATCAGCTGAAGTGTAGCTGGTGTCCATGCTGTGAGACTGAGATTACAGTGGGTCTGACATCATGTGTACTGAAGATGGGCTACTCTGCGTGGACAAGCAAGCTTTGGGCAAGTGGCCCCACTTACCATACTTGGGGCAGCGCTTGCAACGTGCAACATCACAGGACCGGTGGCCTTGCTCCCCACAATGGTAGCAGCGCGATGTGTTGAAATCCTGCTGGCCTGGGACGCGAGTACGAGTGTCGGCTGGGGCAGGTGGCTGGTTGTACCACTGATTTCGCAGCTGGAGGTAGCGAAGATTGCATTGGTCGAAGTGATGGACCTGAAGCAGTAGCAGCAGGCGGCTGTGTCCTGTCGTGGAACCTTGGCTGATGACGAAGGGCATTGATGGAGTCTTGCGTGCGCCGGAACGCCGTCGTCTGCTCTACTAATGCTTCGAAGGCTCTGGCTGCCCTGAGCACTTTGTCGAGGTCAAGAGACACAGTCTCCAGCAGCTTCCTGCGGAGCAGATCGGACGTGCATCCGGCCACAATTTGATCGCAAAGGGCGTCTTTCTGTTGGGCATCGTCAGCAAAGCTGCAGGTCTGTGCCGATGCCAGCAAACGAGCATAAAACGTATCGTATGTTTCGCCAGGCTGCTGAGTGACCTGACGAAAATGGAAGCGGGCAATGCTGGGGCTCTGCTTGCACTGAATATAGTCAGCGACGGCGGATATGAGGCCGTCGAGATCGTTGCCAGTGTTGGCTAATGTAGGGACGAGCTGCTGAATGTCCTTGCCGGCCCCATACTGGTAGGTGTCCCTCTCACGAGTGGCGTCCGAGATGCCGACTTCAGCGACAAAGAGTTGGAATCTCCATTCCCATGCAGGAAAACGGGCGGCACCGTCATAGAGACTGCTGTATCGGGAATGGCTCCGGAGGCAGTAGTGGCAGTAGGGACATGGCGAGGATTAGGCGTTCGCTTACAGCGCCAATGTAATGTTGTTCTCTTGCTTTTTCAAACAACTGACTCGGAGCTCCGGAAAGCTCTGTAATATGATGGCGACATAATGTAATGGTTTACGTGCATGAGTACACAGTCGGTGCGCACCGACTGTCAGTACAGGCGTGGGAAGTGGCATATGTAAATGGATAGGAGTACAAACAGTGCCGGGTACATACATGTATATGTGAACACTACAACTGGGTGGAATTAACATCCACAAGCTGCTGGGCGATGTCATTGCCATACATTTTTAATTTACAAGACTGAACTTTGCCATTACAATTAGGTGATAAATTTAGCGAAGAAATTATATATATTTCCATTACCCAGCCACCTTTGCGTAAACAAAAGAAAAATGTAATATCTCTCAAGTTCAACTTACTGACACCCCTGATCCCACTAGTTAATGTAGCATCCATTTGGTGTTTGTCTTTACACAGCGTGTGTGTTTTAGTTCCTCTTGTCTCACTTCTCACCTTCTCTTTCTCTTTTTTCCTCTTTCTTATCACCCCTTGTGCATGTGTCCCATGTGGCGCAGTGGTATGTGCAGCGATTTCCAATCGATAGGTTGCGGTTTCGATTCCCGACGATTATGGTCACACACGCCTTTCTTCTCTTTCTCAGACTCTTCCTGACTTTTCTTTCATTCTCCTGGGTGGTTACCAACAGCCAGTGCATGCCGGAGTATGTGGTGTTATGTTTGTGCGGGAAAAAAATGAAAAAGACCAAAAATAGGGATTCACGGGCCAGAAAAAGTCACTTCGAATAGCTGTATGGTGTAGACCAGGCTGAATAGTGACGGTCAATTCTTCAGCCTTGCAAGCTGTTGAATGATGCAATCCCAGCACAAGCTGCTACGGCTTCTGCCGTAGCTTTGCTATCATCGCCTCCGGCGATGGGCGTCAAAAAGGTGCATAAATTCTTTGCTACATTTATCACCTAGTTGTAATGGTTACCACCCTTGTGATGCTACTTATCCCTATGTTTCATTGCCATTGGTTCTAATTGCTTGTATTTCATTTGAAGAGAATTCCCGAAAACTGGTCATGAATTTCGGAGTGGCCCAATGTGTTTATAAGCACACTGCTGGGTAGATCCAAGTATCAGTTGTCTGATGATTGCCTAGCGGCATGAAACTCAGAGTTACAACGAACCTGAATGTCCTCCGCTGAGTTTGCTATGTTCTAAGCTCTGTCTCTGATATTTAGCACTCTCTGCAGCTCGGGGATCACTTGATTTATCTATCTATCTATCTATCTATCCATCCATCCAAATATCCATCCATATATCCATCCATCCATCCATCCATCCATCTATCTATCTATTAGTGCCCAGATGGTGAGCCAAGGACATTATTCAATGGAAACAATGAAAACGATGGGGCACAAATTATGCGTTAGAGTCCACCAACTAAACCGGTTTTGAACAGTCAGACGTGCACAAGGTAACACCAGACTGACAAGGAGTACTGAGACATTCTCACTTCCTTGCCGTGGAATGTCTCAGTACTCCTTGTCAGTCTGGTGTTACCTAATCTTTGTGCACGTCTGACTGTTCAAAACCTGGTATAGTTGGTGGACTCTAACGCATAACTTGTGCCCCACCATTTTCCTTGTTTCTATCTATCTATATTTTTCTTTCTTTCTTTCCCTCTCTCGATCTCTTTCCCTACTTTTCCGTTTTATGACAATTATTGGTGTACAGGTATAAGTTGTCAAGACCAAGGGCAGCTTGCCAATGGATATAGCACATCGACAGGCCAACAATTTGGTAGTACAGTTACATATCAATGTCATACAGGCTTCTACTTGCTGGGTTCTACAAGTGGTGTTGTTACTGCACGTTGCATGTCCAACAAAAGGTGGTCTCATGATAAACCCACTTGTTTACGTAAGTTCAAAATCATTATCTGCCGGTGTATAGTTCTTGCTAATAGTAGCTCGCTTTTTCATCAGCTCTTGTAATTTGGTTATTTTCAAGACGATCATTTTTTGTGGCGTCAGGGGGTGATAGCCCTCGTCTTCTGGGATGCTGGCATGGGTAAGCGTTGCAGCCCCAGGAACTCTTCAAAGGTGAGGCAATGTTGGCTTGATGGAGTTTTGTTCATAGCTTGGTCATGTACGCTGTAGCGTGGTTCGTTTGTAGACCCATAAATTATTTGATTTTTCGACAATTTTCGAGGGTATGCCAATTTCAAGGTTCCCTTCAGAATTTTTCATGGGCTTGGCGCGGTCGATCTACACCCTAAAGGAAACCAACTAGCAAAATTTCAGTGAAATCGGAGAGATTGACATGCACACAGTGTCTAGTATTCTCAGACATGCTCTCTTAAGCAGAGGTGCTACTCATGCAACAGAGGCATACCCTATGATCAGTACTAATCAACTTGCAACCAAAGCTCTTTTTTAATCCACACAATCCGTAATCTAAGACGTAGGCAGTTTGTTTTCGGTTATTGAATCGCATCTATCCACCATAACATTGTTATTCCTCTTTTCAAAAGACAGGCAGGCATAGTGGGATGGTCTAAGACCATGATTGAGAAACAGAGGGTACCAGGTTCAAGTCCTGCTTGGAAGCGGAAGGAATTTTTCCAGCCGTGCTGCGACCCACAGTTAATTGGGAACTCGTGGCCTGGCACGAGGGTAACATGGATGCAGCTAATGGGACTTTGACCACTTGGTGGTGGGTCTGATCTACTCACCTCCCACCGTTTAGGCGCTGCATCTGCGCCTTTGATCCTAGAGGGTGGTGGCGTTCCCACGGCGGATGCGGAAAACTCGGCTTCCAGCCGAGTCTCACGCGAACCGTGAAATTTATTTATTTTTTATTTTTTCAAAAGACACCCATACATACTGACACAGCACTTCCTCATAACGGTGAAGCAACCTGGATGCAGTTTTGAATGCACCTCGTCTTTCTCTGTGCTTCTCTGTGAAACAGCCAGGGCATGTCATAATCCAGGCAGACCTACATTTGGTGACTTCTCTGTTCAAATGGGAATACAGCGTGCCCATCTGACACCCTACCTGTACAACGACACTGTCACATGGACATGTGATATCGGCTATGCTACTACTGAACCTACTACTGCTGTGTGTCAGGCTAATCAAACATGGAGTAACAACCGCCCAGGCTGCCAAAGTATGTAAACACAGTGAAGGGATGTGTACGCTTCTCGTTGGCTGCTTTTTTGCAATAAGGCTGCCCACAGCCAACCCTGCAATAGTTATGGCAGATGTGAGGTAGTTATGGCAGATGTGAGGTAGTTATGGCAGATGTGAGGTAGTTATGGCAGATGTAGTAGTAGTAGATTTTATTATTTTACTAGGGGAGTCCCAACAGGCGTTGCCTTTTTACTGGGAACCCTAGGTGAATTTTTACCATGTTTACATACAGAGTAAGAGATGTGAGGTAGTTATGGCAGATGTGAGGTGTGAGAAAGAATCATGTCTTATATAGATGGCATTTTGATCATTTCTACTGTAGCACATGAGTAGTACAGGGTATAGTATAGGGTATAGTATAGGGTATAGAGTAGTATAGCACATGCACAAAAGATGATGGAGGTCTGGCTAGCTAATGGGGGATTCTCACTCACGGGAAACCTGAGGTCACGTGACAAGGTCAAAGTTCAGGCCGTCAGGCAACCGAGTGTGGCCATTCACACCCGGGGTTTTCCCTTGGCTGCATGTTTGGCCATGAATTTGTGGCCGGAATTAAAATATATAATCTGTCCTGCATTTTTGTAGCACAGTCCGTATTGTGTTTTGCATTTGCCATGCGCGATTTTCCGCATGGGCACTGTTTGAAAATGCAGGCTGCAATGCACTCATACAACTAGGGTTCAGAGTTCTCGCCAAATACAAAATCTACGCACATGCATCGTATAGCCGTGGGATTTCCCCTTGACAAACGCCCTGAGGCCCATGGCCACGGCTTTGTCAATTTTACCCGAGAGGTTCACCCTTTCCCCAGTATCATGGTTTCCATAACAACTTTCCCAAAACTGTGGTTTTATCCGTGTGTGTGAATCCCCTATAAGGGCCGGATTTACACAGCAAAACCAGTTATCCTTAATCTTGTGAGGGTGTAGTATAATGTGTCCTTCTTAAACTCAAGTAACCGTGACTGGATGCCTCGGTCCTGTTGCACAAAGACACATACCCATGCACATACTCACATGCACGCACGCACACACACACACACACACGCCCGTACCTTGGACCTTGGACGCCCATCGCTGGTGCGATGATAGCGTGCGAGCTGAGCAATATGGGGAGTGACGCTTCAAGTCACCCGCCCGGCGAAATGTTCGTCCACACATGCACAGAAAACTCTTCGCTGGCTCTGGCGGAGGAGGAGGAGGACGACGAGACAACTTCCTCCACTCTCCCCTGTCTTGTGCCACATCATACCAGTCACCTTCCGGGATCCCCGCCACGGCCAGATCAGATCTAGCAACATCACGCCATCTCTTCCTGGGGCCATGACTGGGGCACCACGACGGAAGCTCCCTGAAGAGGACCTGCTTGGGGAGACGGGTGGAATCCATCCCGGCAATATGACCAAGCCAGCGAAGACGATGGCACCGCAGAAGCTCACCAATGTCTGCTGGGAGTCCCATACGCTTTGCAATCCCCTCTCTGGTGAGCCTGTTCTGCCACTGCGTCGAGCGAGATACATCGAGGATGGCACGGCTGCATGTATGATGGAAGACGTTCAGGCACCGCAGGTGTGTCATATTCAGTGCCCAGGTTTCGGTACTGTAAAACAGAGTGGTGCGTACAATGGCCTTATACACCAGTCTCTTCGTGTGTATATATTGGGACTTGTAGTGGAATATTGGCATCTGCAAGGAGTCAAAGACGCATGACGCCTTAGCCAGCCGCACCGCTAGCTCGCCATCCAGGGAACCGTTATCATTCAGAGAACCACCGAGGTAGGTAAAACTTGCCACCTGATCAATAACATCACCAGACTCCAGATGAATGCCACACTGAGCAGAGTCATCACCTAAGGCCATCGCCTTCATCTTGGAAGTGCTCACGGTCAAACCCCAACGCGCAGTGCAGCTGACGAACTCCCTCGCCCTGATGTCAATCTCAAGCCGAGACAGTGCGTAAAGTGCTGCATCATCTGCAAACTGTGACTCCGTTATCTCGGTCTCCAGCAGTTTCGACTTAGCCGACCGATCGCCAACAAGCTTCCGTCCGATGCGATAGCGCAGAGTCACACCAGGCACAGTTGATTGGGAGCGCCACGAGGCAACAACCGTGGCAAAGTAGATATTGAACAGAGTAGGTGCCAGGGTACAGCCCTTCCGGAGACCATTGGCCACAGAGATGGCATCTGTTAGCCCACCAGCAACGCGAACCCTGGCCTCCATGCCGTCGTGGAGACTCCGGATTAAGCCGAGCACATGCTGCGGCACACCATCTCTCTCCAAGACCAGCCACAATGCATGACGGGGAATAGAGTCATACGCCTTTCTAAGGTCGACAAAAAGGACGCACAGCTGCGAGGTATGCTTAATGGATTTCTCCAAAAGCTGACGAGCCACAAACATCATATCCACGCAACCACGGCCCTTCCGACACCCACACTGCGACTCTGGCAAGATGTCCTCCGCCAGCTTCATTAGGCGATCCTGGAGGACACGAGCAAACAACTTCCCAACAACGTCCAGGAGACTGATGCCGCACCAATTGTCACATCGATGGAGGTCTCCTTTCTTAGGAATCGTGACAATCTCCGCATCACGCCACTCAGGAGGCACCGAACCGCTCAATCACACCGCCCGGACAAGATTGGATATACGCTGATGCAAGTCTTCCCCACCGTAGCGAAGGAACTCTGAAGCGATCTTGGACTCCCCTGGAGCTGTACACAGGTTCAGCCTCCGCATTGCACGCATCACCTCATCGAAATCTGGAGGGAGATCCAGGCTTACACACACCTCCTCAGTAGGCGTACTCTGTAACACAGTGACATCAACATTACTACAAGTAAGAACGGTGAACACCTGCGCAAAGTGGTGACTCCAGCAATCCCTGAGACCACCAGGGCTGGACGTTAAAACACCTTCTTGATTGTACACCGCTGACATGATGGTAACCAGTCGTCTCCCAGAATGTACCCCCTGCAGTTTCCTGATGGATTTCCAGCGCGTGCAACCATCCTTTTGCGTGTTCTCTGCGTCGGTAGCGACCTCCGCAATCCACCTCTCCTTCGCCAGACGAATCTCTCGGCTGACTGACCTCTGGGCAGCCCTGAAGTCCCTTCGCATCGAGGCATTATCGTTCACAAGCATCCGTTCATGCATCATCCGCTCCTCCTCAATCAAGGGCTCCAAGATTGACTGGCTCTCCAGAAACCAGTAAGGTTGCCTGCGTTTGCTGTGGCCCGGCACCCTAGACGCAACACCTTGAATATCAGTACATGCCGCGTCCCAGGCCTCCTTGACATTGCTATTCTCATCTACGTTCGCAGGCATTCTCCATCTCCTTACGAAACGGCTCTCGGACGTCACTGCTCTGCAGCCTATGCACAGCATAGGGCTTCCTCCGCTTGTTGGACTGTGTCTTAGGCAGGACGAAATTGAGTAAAAGTCTGGTGCGAACCAAGAAATGATCCGTCCAACACAGCGCTCGGCGCATGACGCTTACATCCCGGCAATAACCTGATAACAACGCCGCTGGTGTGGTGCATGGCCAGAGCGCATCACAATGTTATCTATCAAATGTTCGTTCCGAGTCGCTGGGTGTACCCACAGGCGCTATAGGCGCGTACGTAGGGGAGGGGGGGGGGGGGGTTCCCGTTGCCCGAACCCCCCCCCCCACCAAATGTTCCAAACGAGCAACGTGTATGGGCATTTTTTTGTAGGGCGCGCGATCGATCTGACAAGAAAGCAAAACGTTTCTTCAACAGATCGTAACTCAGTCAAATCTCGCTCAAATTCAACGATCTAAATATCCAGGTCGAATAGAAAAATCTCAGCTTTCCGTAGAAACAATTCTCGAAGCGCTGCGAGCATTGTTTCTTGAGATAATATATATCATTTGTAAGTTGAGCCGCAAGCTCGGCAATTTTAAAAGCGCGCAGTGCAACTTGAGTATCATGGTCGACCTCATTTTTCTTCCCCTTCCGAATACCTTTCTTCTTCCAGGAAGCCAAAGAATATGAAGATTGAGTGAGTAAAACTGAATTTATAATCCAAGGAACACGAAAAATTGCATAACTTTGAAAATTCTCCCAGGGCTCTTTTCAGAGGGTTTAAAACTCATTGTTTGTGATTCGGTTGGAACCCCCTCCCCCAGAGGTGACCCTGCGTACGCACCTGAACCAAGTTCCACGTTTACGATTCTTCTTCCTGAACCAAGTGTACATGATGGACAGATCATGGATTGCACAAAACAACAGCACGTTTTCCCCAGCCTCATTGAAGGATCCAAGGCCATACCGCCCATGCACACGACTCCAGCCATCACCGTCGCCACGCATGTCATCGAAATGAGCGACATCACCAAACACCAGGTCGCATGATGAACCAACACGAGCATTGAAATCCGCTAAGAGTAGCAGAATATCGCCAGAATCGACTGTTCTTTTCGACTATCTCGTACACACCACCACCACAACAACAACAACAACAACAACAACAACAACAACAACAACAACAACAACAACAACAACAACAACAACAACAACAACAGTAGAACTGCAGGGTCGCAGCAACAGCTGCTCCAATTCTTGCACCGCATGTGTATTAATATAACTATGCCACAGGCATAGACAAGGATTTAGACATAATTATGGCAGCCTGGTACACATCGCTTTAGCATAACAAAAGGAAAACAACGCAAGACAGTAAGCGACCCCAGCCATGGTACACTGGATACATGAACTTCCGAAAGAAATACGTTCACCACGGCTTGGTGCACTGATTAATGGGAATTGCCGCCAGCGATAATAGTGGAGATGCTGAATAACCCCAAATGGGCCAGTCTAAAGCCAATGTGCTACCTTAATACAGAATTATCTGACATTGGCCTTCGCGACTTGCACCAGCGCAGCCGACATGGTGCAGGCACACGCACACAGACACACACACGCGCGCGCGCGCGCGCGCAGAAACATGCTCGCCACATACACGCACTACTGCTTACTCAGCCAATAAATCCATATGCACATACATATCTAGCGATGAATATCCAATTGGGTGGGCGGGTGGGATTCGCAACTGTACAGCAGCAGTGCAAGAACAAAATGAACACTGTCTTCAGACCAGCATGCACCTTCATGTGCATGCTGCAACTCCGCACTGTGCATCCAGTGCGTATCGCACTCCCAGCACAGTCCGTGAACTCTGGACTGTGCACTCGCATTTCGAAAAGAACAGCATTTCTTGTTTACTTCGTTGCTCTCATCCAACAAGAAATGAGGCATCACTCACTGACTGTAAATCACTGAAGAAATGATCCTCGACTACCGAGTCGAAAAAAACGCCACCACCACTGACAGGCCAAACGTCGTTCCCAGGCCAGCGCGTCTCCTGTACACCAGCCACATCGATTTTGAAATGTTGTAGTTCGTTTGCAAGAATATCAAGTTTCCTGTCAACATGCCTGTCACCGGCCGATGCACGTCCTCTACAAGTCCTCACATCCTAACCATCCTCCACCAGAGAGCAAACATTCCACGTCGCAGCAGTCAGAACGCTCCCTTTCCCGACACTCTTTCTCTTCGCCATCATGTCAAAAATTCAAATTCAAAAATATCGCTCCGCTCCTCTTGTGCAGCGTGCTGTTCAAACTCCACCAGGCAACATGCAAGGCTACCTAGTGGGCCACCACAGCCATGGCCTGCTCTACACCACATGGCTCACGGCTGCTTAGGGTGGCTACAACATCCTGAAGAAGGCGCTCACAAAAAGCAAACCTTCCTCTCCGCACTCAACAGCATACACACACACACACACACAAACACACGCACACACACACACACACACACACACACACACTTGTACTTGTTGCTCACTGCCAAAATTGGTCACGTGGGTCTCCCCGGGAGAGGGGAGAGAGACTCAAAAAGGAATCTTGGAAAGATGACTCAGTTGGCTATTGAACCGCCCAACGGCCGACACCTCCTGAAATCCCCAAAACTCTGGGCGGACTTGAAAATGATCCCACTTATGGGCTCACCACACCTCAGTAAGTGGGTGAGGACAAGGTGCAGAAAAAGGATTGACGGCATCAGGGTGTCCGTCCCGGGATTCAACTGCAGTTACCCCTTCCCCCAACGGAGGTAATACTTGCTACTAGTGTGGGTGGCTAAATCAGAGTGGATCTGATAAAAGCTTCACTAGCACCATAGATTACACAAGAGTTAATCTAGCCAGAAGCAGTCCATGGTTAACAAGTATGTATACTTCGAATAGAAAGTATATGAAGCCTGGAACCAACAAAGGTGGCAGGTACAACATTCCACTTTCAAGCAGGCGAGCCCGTTGGCAACAGACCCAACACAATCAGGCATAAGTGTACCCACCAACCGAACTAGCTGACACACACACACACACACACACACACACACACATACACACACACCTCAGACCTGCCCATCACGGAAGCGATGATAGCGAACAGCTATGTTAGACATAGCAACTTGTCGTGTGTGTAGTGCTGGGATTGCACCATTCAACAGCTTGCAAGGCTGAAGAATTGACCGCCACTATTTTTAGCCTGGTATCCACCACACAGCTGATTGAAGTGACTTTTTCTGGCCAGTGAATCCCTATTTTTCATTTTTCCATACACACACACACACAATTTCAAAATACCAACAGTTTTTAAGGTAGCAGCCTTTTTGCAGGCCTTTTTGCAGGCTTTAACCGCTTTCACTGACTCCACCAAAGTTTGAATATCTGAATCTTTATGATGTATTGCTACATTGTGTTCTCAGTCAAATGTATAACTTGACTGAGGTAAAATCTTCACTAGTTTGAGGGAAAGACAGAAACGGGAGAAGTCTGAAGAAAAAATTGACTGTCACCACCAGGACTCGAACCAGGGACCCTCGCTTGTAGCTGGCGATGCTCTAACCACTGAGCTATGAGGTAAAATCAAAACTGCAAAATCAATGTTCAGTGGTAATGGCATTACAACAAAAATTACGAAAAGCTATGTCCCAGAGTAGAGAGAAGGGTTTAACTTCGTGGCCCAAGAATCGCCCCCAGATTGACTTGACTTGAGGGGATCATTCATGTCATGCTGTTACTCTCTTATCCCAGGTATAACAACTATTCGTCCTCCATCTACAAGGCAGATATCCCCTCAGTTTACGAAGGAACGGAATACGCGCGCTGAATCTACCCCAACGACTGTTCAACTCCCTACAACCTCCTCTCACTTCGATGAGTCTGAAGAGTACTCTTCGGGACTAGGTCAGTCACCTATAATTGGGATTTCCGCGTCTGTTGGAACTGTGCTGGTTATATCTGCTATATTCTGTTCAGTGTGGTGGACATCCAGAATGTACACCAAACGGTCTTGTTCCGGTGTAAGCTCAGATAAAGAGCATCAATGCAGCAGCAAGGCGGGAGAAGGAGATGGCATATACGAAACAGTGATTGGCGAGCGGCTTGATCAGACAGATGTACCAATGACTGTAGAGCAATCAAAAGAGGCTGCCGATCCTATGTACGAGAGCCCAGCTAACATGAGTACTACGAAGATTTCCTGTGTACACACCTCGAATGATGCCTACGCAACCACATCGGACATGCTCTAATTTCCTGGGGCGAGTCTAATCAATGAGAATTCTACTGTCATGGCAGTAGTGCTTACGTGTCGCATGTGGATCTGTTCTATTGGCTTTCCTTATCTGGCAGAACTCCACGACTGCCAACTCCAAGCACAACACAATGTGGCAGATTTTAGACAGTGTGGCAGATGCGAGTTGGTGTAGCGCTACCGACCCCCCCCCCCCCCGCCCCAAATGAAAAAGCTGAGCTACGCATTTTCAGCCTCTACGTTATGCTCTCACCAGGTCACGAGCTAGTTAAACACCAGGAATTACAGCGAGGACAAATATTCACGTTCTCTTCCGTATCATAATGACTTGTACCTCGCATTCTATGTATATTAATTGTCTCGGAACATATTGTATCCTTGCATGCATTTCTTGCCATTAGTATGATCCTTTCGTTCACTGCCATGGAATGGTTTCTCACTTGAGCAGCCAATAATCTAGGCAATAACCCATTCATAATGGATGGCCACTTACCTTTCAGCTTTACCGAATAGGAATTGTGCATAACCTAATCTTTTCAGAATACACTGACCGTGCTATGTTATGTACTATAATATGGATATGAGCACCACAAAGTGTTTGCTTCACTTGTTTCATAATTCATTTGTCATTCTATCACTAAATCACTTCCAGCAACGGTATCCTTCGCGTTCACATTCGCCTCTTTTACTTTCCACATGATTTACAAGAAATCGCTGAGCTGTGCCGATCCTGTTGTCGATCATATAAAACAGCAATCATGCGGGATGGCAAGATCATTGTTCACTGAACTTGGACCATATACTGTACTAAATTTGTATAATGAGTACTAGTATGTATATTCCATTGTAGTAGTACCGTAAAGTCTGCTGCAAACGCTCACCCCATTTTTGCAAGATCTGCTGGCCTGTATGAACTGATCCCATGCACTGTCACCCCTACTGTAGTACGAAATTGCATCTCACACCGTAGCGCGAAGAGCGCTTTGCTACGGTAATCTATGATTGTCCACTTTCCTGGTTTCAAAATCTCTTTGGGCACTAGCTACGAGCTAGCTCGTAGTGATTATATGATGTTGGTTGTTTTATTTCGCAAATCCAAACGGGAGTTTCTTCCGAATAACAAGGTAGCGAAGAACAGAGTATTGCAGGAACCAAAATACACTTCTGGCGGTGTTTCAAGCCATCATTTCCTAATCACACAAAGCGCAAGGGTTTTTCTCGAACACTTCAGAGTTTTCCACAAGTTAATTAGCAGCGACTTTGTATGCGTAGCCTCTGTGACATCCCCCCTGTTCGACTTGCAACTGCTACCGGTCAAGCCGTTGAATGACGCTTTGTCAGAACAATCACCTCCATGGTGGACCCCTGAGTGCACTGCTGCCACAGACCTTAAGTGTGCTGTGAAACTGAAGCGAGATTTGTATAGCATTTATAGGAAGTATCCAACCAGTGAAAACTTCATTGCCTTTAAGCGCAAGCGTAACGAAGTGAAATGTTTGTCACGTACCCTCCATCGTCAGTATGTACAGTCGGTTCATGCCACCCTGTCTTCCCATGATCGCCCTAGTCTCCATCAATTTCTCCGCCATCTCCGTAAGAACTGTAGTCGGGAGCCGATCCGATCAATGACAGCTTCAGACGGCACGGTAGCAACAGATCCCGCAGACATAGCAGACATATTGAACACGCAGTTTACGTCGTTTGGACTTCCTGACGACCCTACGTGGCCTATACCACCACTCACCCCTTCACCCTCAATACCTGCGTCCCTCCTATCATTGTCGACTGGTACAGCCCAAGTGAGGAAATATCTCCGTAATCTGAAAACTGGCAAGTCCCCTGGTCAAGACGGAATTACCAACGAAGTTTGGAGAGCTCTTGCTCCGTCTGTTGCCTATCCTGTGTCAATTATCTTGAATATATCTTTTCGTGAAGGGAAATTCCCAGCCATGTGGAAAACTGCGGTAGTCGTGGCCACCTACAAAAATAGAGGACCACGCACCACCCCCAGCAACTATCGCCCTATCTCATTGCTCTCTACTTTATCAAAAGTGTGCGAACGTGTTGTATATGACATCATTTATGATCATGTTCGCATTTCACTTTCGCCAGCACAGTCGGGCTTTTGTCGGGGTGACTCCACCAGGTACCAGGTTACCCGCCTCGTGCAAGACATCCACACCGCCCGGAACGCCCATAACCATGTTGGTTTAGTTTTCTTCGATCTCGCAAAGGCCTTCGACACTGTTTGGCACAGGGGTCTCTTAGCTAAGCTGCGAACAGTATATCGCATTGATGGCAAGGCTATCGGCTGGCTCTCATCGTATCTCTCTAACCGACATCAGCTTGTACGCCTCTCAACTGTGTTATCGGAGCCTTTACCCGTTACTTCTGGAGTCCCCCAGGGTTCAATCCTTGGGCCACTGCTATTTCTCCTGTATATTAATGACCTCCCCGATATTGCCCCTGGTGTCAGCCTTTTCGCTGACGACACAGCTCTGCTTTGCTCCAATGCTTGCCCTATACGCCTGCACGAAGCCATGCAAGATAGCATTGGGAAAGTTATAACCTGGATGCATGATTGGAAGTTGCAGCCAAACGTTGATAAAACGGCAGCTATGTACATTTCCCCTTCTCCCCCTTCCCTGCCACTTTGTTTTCCTTCTTCAAGTGTTGCTATTCGTATTGTTGAAGAGCATAAGCATCTTGGCGTTATTATTGACTCTAAATTGTCGTGGTCACCCCATGTGCAGTATGTCTGCAAGCGCACAAGCTCCATCCTTGGGGCTCTTCAAGCCCACTGTAGACATCTTCCTCTTTCTTGCAAACGCTTGTTTTATCGTTGCTATATATTGCCCTTACTTGACTACTGTGATACTGCTTGGTGTGGCATAACTACTACTGTATTGAACAAGCTAGAAACCCATAACCGCATGCTCCTTAAAATCTTATTTAGCAAAGATCGTCGCTTTCCCTCCGCTAGTCTTTACGAAATTGCCAAGATCAGTCAGTCCCCTTTCCACTCGACATAAGTACCACCTCTGTGTTCTCATACATAAAATATTACTAAATAAAATACCCTTGCATATGCAGGCTTATAATTGGTTCTCCGAAACACGGAACACCCGGAACTCACTCAGTCTCCCACGCGCTGCCTCCACCCTATTCACTAGATCCCCGATCTTTGCTGGCTATGTGTTTTGGGCAACATTACCAACGCAGGCCAAGACCAGCACGTCGATGGATAATTTTGTTGCTAAAATCTCTGCTCAATTATAGGTTTCATGTATATCCTGCTGGTTTGTCTCCTCCTTTGCCTTCTTTGCCTCTTATTTGTATTCTTTTATCTGTTTTACTGCTGTGGTTGGCTTTCACCCTTGTCTCAGTTTTATTGGCCGTCATCATGATGTGCCATGAGACAATGATATAAATACAAATACAAATACAGTGAGGAAACGACGTGCATGGAGGTGCCCGAGAGACGACCAGTCTGACCACGATTGGCAGTCAGCCTACCAAGATGCACGGCTCTCAACGATTGGCTGTCTCAAAACTGCCAAGAGTGCTTTCATGGCGAAACTGAGACAGAAAATGACCTCAAAGCAGCTGCTACCCAGTGACTGGTGGCGCACCGTCAAGCGTGCCTCTGGCAATGGGCGTAGTCAATCTGTTCCGACATTACGTGATCCCGATGGACGAGAGTACACAGCCAGCGCAGACAAAGCAGAATGCATGGCCCGCTATTTTGCAAGCAAATGCAGTCTCGCACAAGATGACCTGTCCGCCCCATTCCCATATGTCAGACCTCGAACTGACCAGGCTCTTTCGGACGTCCGTTGCCGCGTCGCTGCTGTTGAACGCACCCTTCGCCAGCTCAACCCATCAAAGGCAACCGGGCCGGATAAGATACCGGCACGAGTGTTGAAAGCCTGCTCTGCTGAACTGGCGCAACCGCTTTCCATACCGTTTACCCAATGCTTCCAAACTGGGATACAACCCAAGACATGGAAGATTGCCAACATAGTCCCTATATTCAAACGGAAATCAAAGTCTCTACCCTCCAATTACCGTCCAGTTTCGCTCTTGTGTATTCTGTCCAAGGTGATGGAGACAATCATCAACAGAACAATCACAAATTTCCTCGAGTCGAACAACGTCTTCTCCACCAGACAGTTTAGATTTCGCCATGGTCAAAGTGCACCCGACCTCCTTACCAGCCTCCACCACCAGTGGCTGCATACAGCCAGGGAGAAAGGCGCAGCACGCATACTCGCCATTGACATCGCCGGTGCGTTTGATCGCGTATCACACCCCGGTGTGCTACACAAGTCCGACGTATACGGCCTGCGTGGGCAACTGCACCAGTGGCTCAGCAGCTACCTCAGTGAACGCTACCTTCAAGTGGTCATTTGTGGCCAGACATCCTCAAGGCTCCCAATTCAGGCTGTAGTCCCCCAGGGCAGTATTCTGGGTCCGACTCTCTTCCTCCTGTACGTGAACGACTGCGAGGACCACGTACCGGCCGGTGCTGACCTAGCCTCGTTCGCAGACGACACTACGCTGTATGCCAACATCACCCCCACCACCCAAGAAGATACCACCCAAGCCCTCCAGCTAGCAGTCAACAACATCTCCCGCTGGGGTCAAGAATGGAAAATAAAATTTGAACCAGCCAAATCCCAGGCACTGACCGTCAGTTTCCACCGCACCCAATGGGACATGCCACCGATTGACTTCAACGGATCAAATGTGACGGAACAGGAGGAGCTCAAAATCTTGGGCATCAGTTTCGATGGTCAGCTTACCTTCCGGCGCCACCTTCGTACCGTAGCCCTCCGGGCAACACAGCGACTTGGTGCTTTGCGTAAGGCTTTCCACCTCCTAGACGTGCCCGGTCGCATCCAAGCCTACAATGCTTTTATGCGCCCAGTGATGGAGTACTGCCCTATTGTCTGGATGGGAGCGGCCCCATCCCATCTTGCAAGACTCGACCGTGTGCAAGCCCGGGCCATCCGTGCCATCGCCCCAATGTGTTGGCTGCCGAGTCTTGCTCTTCGTCGGATGGTTGCAGCACTTTGCCTCCTGTACAAGATGCATTGTCCGGATGCGCATCCCCTTCTACAGAGGATGCTGCCACCCCAGCAGCCCCAACACCGAACAGTCCACTCCACCCGTAGTACATTCCAGAGATGTAATGCTCACGCACACCAACTGGCCAACGAACTTCCAGTCCGTTCCCGAAACAACCTGTGTCGAGCCTACCCTCACGCAGTTGTCCCCGTCTGGAACCAGCTGCCCGCCGGAGTCTTCTCTGGTCCTTTCTGCACCAAGAACTTGCAACACTTCAAAGTTGCAGCCAACCGCTATTTGAAGACCAACGACTGGTCGTGGGCACATGACCATCTCTGATCATCAGCATCATAATTATCTGCCTCACCCCATGACTTCCAAATTCCGCTCCACATACTATTCCCAATAACGTCTGTTCTTCTTTTCTCTCCTTCTCCTCCTAGCACTGTCTGTCTTATCATTCCCCTCCTTCTAATGTACTGTCTCTCCTCCTAACATTTCGTATCATGTACCTGTCACTCCTTTCATTTTTCTTCTTTTTTTGGTGCGTTTTATCTCCCCATGACGTCGAGACCTCAGGTCGGCTGAGGGCAAAAAGCCTCACCATCACTATGCTCCCACTATGCAATTTTTTGTCTTTGCCTGTGAGCTGTGATCATTGTAAAAAAAAAAAAAACGTTCCGTTCTGAAAGCGCGACATCGTGGGACTGCAGAAATTTTTAAAAGGATTTGAAAACCAGATGGATTCGAGCCTGTAAACTACCGCCCTATCTCCTTTCTTCCTTGCGTGTCCAAAGTGTGTGAACGCATCTTCTGTGATCACTACAGGCGATTTTCAACTGCGCTCATCTTACCTACACATTTTACACTTGTGGGTACTCGATCGCGCTAATGTAGCGTACTGATACATGATGCATGCTGCTGCACCTTCCCCAGTCTAGAGTGAAGAACTTCTTGGCCCAAAGGCATCATCCAGGAAGCATCAGACCTGAAAACACACATGTGGCTCCAAGTCGAGACATCAATGCCTCAGACTCGTGTGTTGCTATCATTATAGACGATATTTGTTCTGCACAAAGAGGTGTTTTGAATGGTGATTCTGTATCCTTATAGCCGATTTATCGCTATATTCGATATATTGGTTAAAATGATAATTTGACAGGCTTTTCCGGTTTTGCTTTTGATATTTTCATTTTGTATCAATATAGCCGGTAAATTATCACTATGTCCGATGACTTTATAACCGATATCCACTGTACAAGTACAAGTACATGTAGATGCTGCTTTTGCAACAGGAAGTCGTAGCTTTACGACTCCCTTGAGAACATGTCCAGTCCACTACAATCAGTGACGGACGTAGCTAGGTCAGACGGTGCGTTGACCCCGTTGAACTTTTGCTACTACAGTACAACGCCCTCTACAAAAAATCCCCCTGTTATTTTGCACAGAACCATTATACAATAGCAGCATACGTGATCATAATGCGGCATAATATGATAACTTTTAGCATAAAAATAGCATAATTCTGCAATTTTTTCAGCAATGCGAAAAGCATAATTTCACGAAATTATTTGCATAATCTGTCAAGGCCTAGCCGCCAAAAATCAGTGCGCGCTTATACTTGAGAATCAAAGATAATTTTTACCATGGTATAATGTGAATAGCGCGAATTCATGAATCGATTCGCGGGCATAATCGAACGCACTCAGCGAGGATGCGTGTTTCTCAATGACTAATGCCAGCAATGGTGCAAACTGCAAAGCCAAAGGCGCAAAGGCTACAAAAAGTACAAGTACAATCTTTTGTTGAGAGGTTGAAGGAACTGCTGGTCTTGTCCTTGATCCTCCAGGACAGCTCGTAGATGTACCCCCCCCCCTCCCCTCCCCTGTGCCTACTCCTCCCCAGTTTATGGTGCACTGAAGTGTCGCTGAAGCCGAGACCTCAGGTCGGCGGAGATGCTCCAGTTTCACCACCACAGTTGCGTCTGCAACCACCTCTATCATGCAGTATTCTGTTCTCGAGGTTCGTGGTTTCTCGTAAAAAAATCTACTTTTTGTTGGTGGATTTCTTTTGCCATAGGTGTTTGGTGAGCTCAGTGCTTTTGCGGTATTTCTTGTCGCGGAATGACAACGTGTGGTTGTCTTACTAGTCTTGTCTTGAAAGTGGTTTCTGCTGAGTCGATGTACATGTATGTTTTGTGCTCATCTTGACTGGTGTGGTGACGTGTGCTTCATAGACACCGTGTGAAACTTGGCCACCTTCTTTGGGGCATTCTTGCTTTCCCCGGCAAGGCTTTTCGGGTGCTTCTTGTCTTAGTTGTTGCTTCGCCCACTGATTACTGCTGCGATATTGGCCACACTATTGTAGTGGATCTACATGAGTCGCTGTCCAGTATGGATTCACTCACAACTCCAAGTTCGGCCTTTGCGGAGTTGATGAGTATGCATACTATAAAGAATACATAAACCGTTTATGTACTCTTGATAGTATGCACAGGAGGTTGTTTGCGAAGCGGTCAATGTGATCGTTCAACTTCAAGCTCACAAAATGCCTCGTATCATTTTTGCCATTGAGTCGACTCGGTTGCTTATTCACCTCGGCGTATGTCTTGTCGGGTGCCTGTCTTTTGCGGAGTGTCTGGATATCAACCCCGCAAAGTCGAAACTTGTAAACCTACACTGTAGTGTAGAGAACTTAGGGGCCGTCCGTAAATATCGATGTTTTTTTAGAGACGATATTGGTGCTTCTCTCCCTTGACCCCCCTCCCTCCCCCCAGAAGACGCACATGTACATCTAGATCATGGAATCAATATTTTTGGATGCTCATGAAGTGCCCAGGATGTTGAGGGTCCGGTGTAGGCGTGAAAATCCCGCCGCACTCACGCAATAGCTGCATCGCCTGGGGGGAGCGAACCGGGTTGGCGCTGCAGTGCTCACAGCCATCGTGTACTGGTGTAGACAAAGCGGCTACGCTCGGGCTTGAATGTTTTCAAATCCTTGTTCAGACAGTGATGACTGGAAACCCTTGTGGAGTTCGTCCGTGTTTGTTCGCACTGCCTCTACGTCTTGAAAAAGGTCTCCTGCAGGCATCGTTCGGCCGATTTCCACAATCAATAGCTCATTCCTTTGCTCTTGAAATTCGCCATGGGCGTACAGCTTCCAATTTTTGATTTTGTTCTCGTGTCGCGAGTTTTAGCTCCGCGAACGGAAGCTGGTTTCACATTTCTTGTATAGCCATTTAGACGTCCGCGTGCAGGGATCGGCGAAACTTCAGATATTTACATCGATATTTTTCTGATGCTCGAAAAGACGCACATGGCTCAAACCCCCTCCCCCCCAGACGCACCAATATCGTCTCTAAAAAAACATCGATATTTACGGACGGCCCCTTACTTACGTACTTAATTTACAGTTTCACTTTGTTCGGTTTGTTTGCCTGACTGAAGTTGAAGACACCACTGCAGCTGTACTTATGGTTGATAAATATGGTGGTAAAGACACACCTGGCAATATGGCGGTAAACACACGCCTGCCCACACACGCTCTCTAGGCTGCAAAGTTCTGGCACAGAGCTCTCCTTCTCACCACCACCACCATCAGTTCGCGCCTGGCGCCTGGTCGATGCATGGCTGGCGGTATCCGGCATAGCAGGCTGGTACATCAAGTAGCGCATGGCACATAGATGATGACACAGCAACGACATAGCTCGATTGCGACGTATGTTTCGTCCCCGCTGGACGCATCAGGCAATCTTCTTCTCTGTGCCAGAACTTTGCAGCCTAGAGTCGAGAGCGTGTGTGGGCAGGCGTGTACAGCTGCAGTGGTGTCTTCAACTTCATTCTCCCGAGTCAAGCTTCGTATGAAGACATCCAAGAAGAAGATTGCCTGATGAGTCCAGCGGGGACGAAACGTACGTCGCAATCGAGCTATGTCGTTGCTATGTCATCATCTATGTGCCATGCGCTACTTGATGTACCAGCCTGCTATGCCGGATACCGCCAGCCATGCATCGACCAGGCGCCAGGCGCGAACTGATGGTGGTGGTGGTGAGAAGGAGAGCTCTGTGCCAGAACTTTGCAGCCTAGAGTAGTAGAGAGCGTGTGTGGGCAGGCGTGTGTTTGCCTGACGATAAAAAACAAAAACAAAAAAACTCTGAAGCCTGAGTATCGAGTAGCAACGGACCGGTACGGATATGCTTCCTTGGTCATGTACATACATACATTAAACTTTTTATCCAACCAGCTCTTCACTTCCGTTTTCTGTGAACGTTACATGGTGCACCGGTGGACGCGTGGACCCGGTGGACGTGGATTCGTGCGAAATAAAAGCACGAACCTGGCCTTTGCCCGGTTGGTTGCAGAGAGTAGAAAACGGCCCAGCCGCTGACCTAAGATATTATTTTTTACTATTTTTAGGTCAGCGGCAGACCATCCACTGTTCTGAATCTGAGTGAAAACAGCCTTTTTCGGATCCACAGATGGAAACAGCTCGTGTGTTCATGGTGTGGAAGTCCAGAAGCCACCTGGCCAGCTGGCAAAGGTATTGCAGGCAGAGATATGGAAAGGTGCTCAGTTTTGTGGCGGCCGAGGAATTATGTACTTCCATCAGCGCTCTGCTCACCGAAATATTGGTCGCGGATATGCAGTCGTTACAATCTGCTGGTTACGGCTGAGCGAACTAGTTCATGGGTGAATGAACGGCGCAAGAAGACTACGTCTGTCCAATGTGTTGTTTGATGTGTCGAAGAAGCAAGCCAGTCGGCGGTCGCAGAACAAGCGCCAAAAGTTGACCAAGAAAAATGAATCCGGTTAGTGGAGGAGCTGTTTCTGTGCGTCGCCTATACTGTATGCCACTGCAAACATTGCTGTCAAAACATTTCCAACACCTTTCTCTTGTATGCTGAAGGTGGTGTTCGTTGTCCAGCGAATTCTGCAGTGCCCGAGGAATAGGGCGACTCCAGAAAGAGCGAGCCACTATGGCGTGGCGAGCGGCAATGGTCCTAATTGCGTTCCTGGCGCTGGCAGGTGAGTGAGCTGAGTGAACTGTTCGTTTGTGACAACAAACCCCTCTCACATTATTTAAAGGGGAAGTTAAGGCAAAAATTAAAATTTCACCAGTTGTAGTCTTCGGGGTGCTGCGTCGAATGGTCTTGGTCCGAGAAAGCTGAGACGCTCCCTTCCTACTTGAATCCCAATCGAACTCGCACACTTCCACCGAAACTGGGTGACTGCGCCCTACTAGATGGGGATTTGTATGCAAAATGTCACTAAAAGCGCCATTTCGTTCTTATATAAGCACGGATGACCGCGATTGGCCCATAATTATGTTGTAGTCTTTTGGACGCTGAGTCGACTGGTTTTGGTCCGAAAAGGCTGCGATGCAGCGTTCCTCCTTTATTCCCAATCGAACATGGTTGAACAAGCGGTCACGTGCTCCTGGGTGCCCAAATCACCAGGTCACCACGCCAGCAGGCGACAACTTTCACACCAAGGTTCAACTCGAGTTCAACTCGAGTGACAGGACTGCACCCAAAAAAGGTCAAACAGGCTAGTAAGTTGTACCCTGCAGGCACGGTGACCAGGTGACTGGTGTACGCAGGAGCACGTGACCACTTGTTCGACCATGTTCGATTGGGAATAAAGGGGGAACGCTGCATCGCAGTCTTTTCGGACCAAAACCAGTCGACTCAGCGTCCAAAAGACTACAACATATGGGCCAATCGCGGTCATCCGTGCTTTATAAGAACGAAACGGCGCTTTTAGTGACATTTTGCATACAAATCCCCATCTAGTAGGGCGCAGTCACCCAGTTTCGGTGGAAGTGCGTGAGTTCGATTGGGATTCAAGTAGGAAGGGAGCGTCTCAGCTTTCTCGGACCAAAACCATTCGACTCAGCACCCCGAAGACTACAACTGGTGAAATTTTAATTTTTGCCTTAACTCCCCCTTTAAAGGGGAAGTGCATCGATTTTTCAAGTAGGGCTCAGATGAAAGACAATTGCCTATCGGTTCCGATGGTATATCTCTCGCCTCCGTACGATATTGCAAACTTGCCATATCGCCGATTTTCTGATTGCGTTTCCATGGCGACTACAGGTGATGACGCACATTCTGCTTAGCTCCGTGAGAGAGAAGGTCGATCACTGCAGAATTGTGTCATTTTCAGTTGTCTTATTGTAATTCACGAAGTGAAAGAAGTACTGTGTTCAATGCTGTTAGTGCCGTGAACTGTTTATTAGTAGTCCTCTCCGTTGTGTACTGGGACGTGACACCGACAGGAGTAAGCTGGAGTGCGGAGACGTTAGCTGGCAAGCGAAAATCGTGACGAACCAAGTGCTGAAATCTTGGTTGGGACAAATCAAACGTTCAGCATTTACCTCAACCAAGGACCATGCCGTTTGCTCTTTCCACTTCCTGACGATGGATGCGCTGCCTGCTGGAGACTCTCCTATCTCTCGTAACTCTGAAGCCACGTGAGACGACAGGTAACGGTAATTAGCGAACGAAATAATGTCAAATGTTTTGAAATGTTTGCTGAACATTTCTCAGGAGAGATGGCGAATACCAAGCATCTTCTCCTAGTCTGGAGAAACCGTTTCGTAGGCTACATTCCAGCTAGGGAAATGCAGGAGACGGCCTGGCTGGGGAGGACACACTTGGAGGAGAACGAAGTAGGTTATATTTTTTAAGTTGTTCTTTGGTATTGCAATCTTATATGTGACACAAACTTCATGGTGCATAGTTGGTCGTTGCGTGCCTGCATGTGCATGACTGTATAAGTGTGTGCTGATAAACACTTCCTCTGCAAGAACCCGACACTCATGCTCTCTTTCTTTCTCGCAATATGTGCGCACGTGTGTATGTGTGTGTGTGTGTGTGTGTGTGTGTGTGTGTGTGTGTGTGTGAGAGAGAGAGAGAGAGAGAGAGAGAGAGAGAGAGAGCGTGCGTGCGGGCTAAGCCTGTGCAGGAGCAGCGTGGAGCATGCCAATGTGATCGCTGTGGCCATTGGTTTCTTAGCTGTGGCGTTCTTGTGTGTGGCTCAGTCCCCAACGACAGTGGAGCCGTGTACATGTAGTGGTGAACACTGTGTGTCCTGCGACCGCTGCTTCCGTTCGGTCCAGGGCAGAATAGACACCGCTGCTCAAGCTCTCCCCGGCCATACGTCGGTCTGGTGGCAGAGGACCAGAACTCTCGTTTTGTGGTGGTGGTGGTGTGTGTGTGTGCGCATGTGTATGTATGTGTGTTGCTCCCTACGTAGACAAACTCTTGTTTTTGTGTCCCTTGCGCCGTGGGACGGCTTTCTTCCATTCTCTCTCCACTGCCCCTCCGGGCCCACGAGGCCCTTGTGGCAGTGGCTCGACAGGGCAGGTGTGTGTATGGTGCATGGTGTGTGCTGGCATGTCTGTATAAACATGTTGGACAGGAATTTGTTCACCCACGACGTTCGCGGAAAACCATGCCAGGTGTTGCTGGAACGTATGGAGTCTGCAAGCACTTACAATAACTTACATTATGTCACAACAAAGAATGGTGCAGTGTTTGACCCTCATGTACTGTGAAACATGATGGTGACGGTACCTCACCTAAGCTATCCAGAAGCTAGAAAAAAAACATCAGGTCAACAAAATTGTACCAGAGGAACGCATCTATTGCCCAAACTTCTTCATATGAAATGAACAATACCCTTCTCCAAAGAGACAACATGCAGATGAAGTGTATGGACAAATATATAAATAGGCCATTCAGTGAGGGCATGTAATGATGATCTCTACGTGAAGATTGGATAGACACATGCACGTCTGCGAAAGCATTTGTTCCTGGGTTAGCTTGCTGATTGAGTTCACATGGCCTACGTTCATACATGCCATCTCTCCTGAGAAATATTCAGCCAAATATCAAAACATACGACATTATTTTGTTCGCTAATAATTAGGTAATTATTACCGTTACCCGTCGTCTCGCGTGGCTTCAGAATATGTTACGAGAGATAGGAGAGTCTCCAGCAGGCAGCGCACCCATCGTCAGGAAGTGGAAAGAGCAAACGGCATGGTCCTTGGTTGAGGTAAATGCTGAACATTTGATTTGTCGAAACCAAGATTTCAGCACTTCGTTCGTCACGATTTTCGCTTGCCAGCTAACGTCTCCGCACTCCAGCTTACTCCTGTCGGTGTCACGTCCCAGTACACAACGGAGAGGACTACTAACAGTTCACGGCACTAACAGCATTGAACACAGTACTTCTTTCACTTCGTGAATTACAATAAGACAACTGAAAATGACACAATTCTGCAGTGATCGACCTTCTCTCTCACGGAGCTAAGCAGAATGTGCGTCATCACCTGTAGTCGTCATGGAAACGCAATCAGAAAATCGGCGATATGGCAAGTTTGCAATATCGTACGGAGGCGAGAGATATACCATCGGAACCGATATGAACTTGTCTTTCATCTGAGCCCTACTTGAAAAATCGATGCACTTCCCCTTTAATATGGAGTGAAATTATACATGCAGAGTCATAGTTGTACGTGTTGATAACTATGATCAATATCATCAGGCCTGGCCTCTGTAGGTGTAGGGGGTCTATTATGTTTCAGACTGTGTCAAAAGTATTCTTCTAATAGCATAACCACGCAACGGAGGGTTAGCTTAGGGCAAAGCAGTATCACCAGTGTACTCTGACAAAAATACCTCGGGATTGATAGAAATACATGTCGCATACCTCCATATCTTTTTCCGGGGGGGGGGGGGAGAAGAAGTACAAGTGCAGCCTTACTCAGATGTCTAATAGTGGTTGTGTTGTGGCAGTGTGAAGCCGAGATATAGTTTTATAGCCAGGACTATCAACTGCAACAGCACAGCTCATTGGTAGACCGTTATTATCATTTGACATCTCGTCCCTTTCTTATTGTAGCGATGCATCCTGAACTAGAAAGGTTACAGTTCTGGCCAGAGAAATCCGACCTCATGAATAACATGGTGCCACGCTCAAGCGAGCGGAGTGGTGATTGTGATGTCATCGCCACATCCCCCTCAGCACTTTTATGTTCATAAGGTTGGATTTCTCTGCCCATAGCTGTACAAAAATTGCTTTGTGTCCGCATATTACAATGACTATGTAATGTCATGGAGTAGCCAGAAATAGGTCATCTCAACTACTAGTAGCTTGTGGGTCAGTTACTGGGAGAAGTGATATTTTGCCTGATTGTTGTGCTGTAGTCCATGAAGACGCTGTATTATGGATCCACAGTTGTGGCTAATGAAACAATCTGCCCTTGTTTATGTAACAGACCCTGCCTCTATAGAACACTGCACTGCGCAGAGAACGTGGCTCTGCTCCATTCATGAAGTTGGACGTCACATGCCGCCACCAGAAGGACTGTGTTCAAATTTAGTACCAACTGACAATGGCGATAATACTATTCAGATTGTTGTAAATGAAGGGAATCCTAGTTTTGTAGCTAGTTTTGTAGTTCGTTGTCCTTCAGCTGCTGCTGAGCAATTCGTCTTGACACATTGGTTTTCAAATATCCGTGGGTGAATAGACAAAATGTCCACAGTTACCTATGTGCATATAGCTTGACTGTGTCATGGATAAGATAACTAGTAGAAGCCTTGTACAGATCCGGATGTTGTTCACTGATTAAAATCATTTTCAACCCAGGTTATGCTAAGCAGTGTGAACTTGATCCCTGTTTTGTGTTCTTCTTCACTGTTTTCTGATTGATTACCAGCAGATCATCAGTACTGCAGTGGCAATACAGAGATGACCTTAAAGGAGCAATGTGAAACTCGGGACTTTCAGCTCACAACTGCTCCCAGTAACACATTCGTGGTGCCAAACAAGGCCAACAAATTCAATTTCAATAAGAGGGGAAAGTGTGTTGTTACTTCCAGATTCAAATGCAATTTTGGCTATGGTTTTACAACAGATGATGGAATGACCTGGGCTCAGAGAATCAAATTTGAATTAGACGGCAGTGACTGGATTATCCAGAACGATTGTATAAGTAGGTATACTCAGCTTTTTAATTATCCTTCACTGAAAAACTTTGAAGTAGATTCCTGGCAACTATTGAATATACTATGAAAAGGTTGGCAGAGTATGACAAATTTCAGTATCTTCTTTCTTTGTTTGTTTTCATCTAAAAAAAGCCTATGGATGCAGAAACACAGAGAATATTTTTCTATTGTCTTTTTGTCTTATCATCAACAAATAGGACAACAAACTTACACATGGAAATAACTAAGTTAAAAATTATACGAAAAAGGACGAACGAGCGAACCATTTTTTCCCTACAATCTTACACATGCTAGCATCCACATGCACTGACTAGCTGGAGACAAATTAAGCAATGTCATCATAGTGAACAACGCTATGTCGTCATTCACTTCCACTCTCCCCCTCCCCCCCCCCCCCCCCCCCCCCGCCCCCACACACACCGCATTCCACATGCACAACAAAAGCGAAAGAAAAATAACGATATCGGGCAAGAAGGAATCAAGTCAGTAGAAACATTTCACAGTGTTGCATGACAGGCAAAACAAAACTGTCCGAATGAAACAACCATGCACACTGGGACCACCAACAAGCCAAAAGGTAGCATTGTAAATGAGGCAAACAAGAAAAACAAAACAAAACAGAGCCAGTGCTCCAAACTAAACCACCATAGCGGCACCATAATCAATAGAACATCAAGACTACAGTGCAAGTTCAACATCACATCATAATGATAATATTATAGACTCGAACGAAATTACACCAGCATAAGGAAAAGAGAAACAAGTAGGAGAATTCATCAAACAAAACAGAAACAGCTTGAAAGACAAAAGAAGTCAAATCATTCGGTGAGAGCTGCCACATCTCAGCTCTCACCCGGTGAACCACGTTTTGCTCAAACGCCATCTCGTAGTCTCCGGTCCCAGTCCACAGCCCGGCTTCAGTCCTAACCGCCTCATCAGCTTTTCCTTTTTCCCTCACATTTTGCCGCCACTTTTCTCTCTCTCTTCTCTCATCACTGATGACTTTTAAAAAAATCTCCACGGAAACTTCCCTTTTTGACGGAGGGGGACAGCCTGTGGCATTCTCTTTTTTACCAGCCTGGGTGTTCTTGAGCAAGCGGCACATTTTGAATTGTAAAACTTGCTTAGAGCGCTTATTTCCTTTTTGTTTCTATAGAGATCACTACTTATTGCCCAGAGCCAGATAGTGTGCTGAATGGAATACAAGCTGACAGTGACAACAATGGCCGTGCACTCGGTTCAACACGTACTTTCCGGTGTGAGGATGGATACAAGCTGAAAGCTGGAAATACTGCTTCCATCAGATGTACTGAAAACATGTCCAGAACAGGGCTCTGGACACAGCTTCCTGTGTGTGAAGGTGAATAAACTGTTACAAGCGGTTCTAACACTTTTTGGTTTCCAGTCATCTTCTCAATATCACTACCATTTCCACGGTCTTACACATAATTTTATGGTAACTTGGGTCTATATCACGAAAAAATATCAGAGGTCAAAAACCACTTTCTGTACGATTTTTGTTCATATTGTCAGGGTCGAAGTATCATAAGGGCCAAGCTGTTAATCCCAAAATGTTGCTAGTGTGTAATGAATACTTCCCTATATTTGAGGCCTGTGAAAGACACACCCATGCATTCGTATTTATATCCCGAAATACGAGAAAACTTCCTTTCACAAACAGGAGTTCGCTTTTCATTTGTTTCTATCTTCTTGAATGTTGTTCTCTTTCCCAATAGCAAATGGTCTCTGGTATAGTCTGTCAAGATCACTGTACAGAATTGTGTTGTTGCTCTAACAGGGATAACATGTGAAAATCCTGGTCAACCTACCAATGGTCAAGCTACAAATACAGGATTTGACTTTGGAAAGACTGTAAGATACACTTGTAACCAAGGTTATGAGATGGAGAACATACCAAGTGGTGTACTCACAGTGGCATGTAAAGGAACTGGACTATGGTCTCAAGCCAAACCTACATGTCAACGTAAGTGTTACTCTGTACAACTATAGTCCATTTCAAAGGCGCACGACCCCGCGGGTCGCTTCTGCTGCCCGTGCCTCTCTGATGCGTGATATGTGTACATCATAACGAGAGAGCTTGGAAGCTCAGGGCCCTACGCTATGCTTTTTTGCCTTGATGCCCTAGACAAAAATAGCATAGATATGTTATAAATTCTTATAAATTTCTCATTTTTTTTAAAGACATAACCTGGGATTCGAACCCGCACTATCGCCCTGCATGCATCCCCCGATACACTTCGCATACATACTAATTCTTCCAAGTTACTTCACGTCATGATCTTGCATTTGAAGGCCCTAATTGAATATGCATTGTAGCCAGCGGTCTTTGATGGTACGGTACGGGACAGGTACGGGACAGGTACGTTCGAGGATACTACGACACCGCCTACCGCTTTGATGACCTAGGCAAAAAAAGCATAAGGATGTTATACATTTTTCAATTCTCCTATTTTTTTTAAGGCATCACCTGGGATTCGAACCCACACTATCGCCTTACATGCATTCCCCCATACACTTCACATTCATACTCATTCTTCCAAGTTGCTTCACGTTATGATCTTGCGTTTGAAAGCCCTATTTGAATATTGCGGCCAGCTGTATGTGGCCAGCTGTGTTTGATGGTACGGTACGGGACAGATACGGGATAGCGCCAGGCGTGACACAAACACACAAACAAACAAACACACAAATACCAAACAAGAGGGCTTGGAAGCTCAGGGCCCTACGCTATGCTTTTTTGCCCTGATGACCTGGACAAAAAAAAAGAATAGGGATGTTATAAATTCTTAAAAAAATACTTTTTTTAAGAAATAACCTGGAATTCGAACCCGCACTATCGCGCGCCCTGCATGCATCCCCCGATACACTTCGCATACATACGAATTCTTCCAAGTTGCTTCACGTTATGATCTTGCATTTGAAAGCTGTATTTGAATATGCATTGTGGCCAGCCGTCTTTGATGGTACGGTACGGTACGGGATAGGCACGGGACAGGTACGATCGAGGGTAATACGACACCGTCTACCGCCTTGATGACGGCAAAAAAAGCATAAGGATGTTATACATTTTTCAATCCTTCAATTTTTTTTTCAGGCATATCCTGGGATTCGAACCCGCACTAACACCCTACATGCATTCCCCCATACACTTCGCATTCATACCCAATCTTCCAAGTTGCTTCACGTTATAATCTTGCGTTTGAAAGCCCTATTTGAATATTGCGGCCAGCTGTATGTGGCCCGCTGTGTTTGATGGTACTGTAACAGGTTTAATCGAACATGAAAAGTAAGAGGCCTGGTTGAGCGTGCCTCGACCAGTTATATGCAAAAGGTGATAGTATACATGTGGCAATGGCGCCAATGAAGGTGCTAATAGACAGGCGTAAGACGCATGAGGTGCGAGGGAGTGTAAAGTTATAGCGAACAGAGGAAAACTGTTACAGGAACGGTACGGTACGGGACAGATACGGGATAGCGCCAGGCGTGACACAAACACACAAACAAACAAACAAACAAACACACAAATACCAAATTAAAACTGTGTGGACCCTGGCTAGCGCCAGACGTTACTGAAGTAACGTCTTCTGCATAGCTACGGGAATTAAAGCTGTGTGGACCCTGGCTAGCGCCAGACGTTACTGAAGTTACGTCTTCTGCATAGATACGGGAATAATAATTATGACCTCATGCTGAGTACATGTACGTCATACTTGATTTACCGATCACAGGCTCACGATTATTCATGCTTGAATAAACGCTTGCAACACCCCATGGGCTCGTCTCTCTTGTGTGGCATGAGGGTTAAAGGCTATGGCAAATAGCCATGCAGTGCTACTGCATTTCATCTTCTTTTGAAGTACGTTGCACCAAAGCACATTTTTTAATCGATTCTTGAAAAATATTATTGTAGACTCGAACGAAATCACACCAGCATAAGGAAAAGAGAAACAAGTAGGAGAATTCATCAAACACAACAGAAACAGCTTGAAAGACAAAGAAGTCAAATCATTCGGTGAGAGCTGCCACATCTCTGCTCTCACCCGGTGAACCACTTTTCGCTCAAACGCCATCTCATAGTCTCCGGTCCCAACCGCCTCATCAGCTTTTCCTTTCCCTCACATTTTGCCGCTACCTTTCTCTCTCTCTTCTCTCATCACTGATGACTTAAAAAAAATCTCCACGGAAACTTCCCTTTTTGACGGAGGGGGACAGCATGTGGCATTCTCTTTTTTACCAGCCTGGGTGTTCTTGAGCAAGCGGCACATGTTGAATTGTAAAACTTGCTTAGAGCGCTTATTTCCTTTTTGTTTCTATAGAGATCACTACTTATTGCCCAGAGCCAGATAGTGTGCTGAATGGAATACAAGCTGACAGTGACAACAATGGCCGTGCACTCGGTTCAACACGTACTTTCCGGTGTGAGGATGGATACAAGCTGAAAGCTGGAAATACTGCTTCCATCAGATGTACTGAAAACATGTCCAGAACAGGGCTCTGGACACAGCTTCCTGTGTGTGAAGGTGAATAAACTGTTACAAGCGGTTCTAACACTTTTTGGTTTCCAGTCATCTTCTCAATATCACTACCATTTCCACGGTCTTACACATAATGTTATGGTAACTTGGGCCTATATCACGAAAAAAATATCAGATGTGTTACTCTGTACAACTAGAGCTGGGATGACCTGTGAGGAGATGCCGCTGTCCTAGCACGTTTACTTTGTATATGCATGGCCGATATGTTCCTGTCAGTCCTCCCCCCCCCCCCAATTAATCCATGTTCCGTACGCGGAGGCATACACGACCCACACACAGGCACAGCGGTTGTTGGTTGGCACCACAGGGTAACTGGGCGAAGGAGCTGGCAGTGTGTAACCATGGAGCCGGCCGACCCGACAGAGGCGGGGACCGAGAGTGAGACCGAAATGGTGGCTGACCTGCCAAGGGCAGTACCCAGAATAGAGTGATTCGGGAGAGTAGAGAGAATGCTGCCAGCTACTGAGAGTTCAGGCCCAATCCCTGCTTGTTTGTTTACCAGAGTGAGCTTGGAAGACGAATGAGGTGAGTAGTATATACAGAACAGGGTGCTACAGAATGAGAATTGTAACACAATGAAATCGGTGTGGGTGGGTGGGTGAAAAAATGGAGCAAGAGTCATGCAAGCCAATGCAACTAACAACGAGATCCAGGCACGAAGGTCATATCAAAGCGAGCTGCTGAGAGAGTTTGCGCATGCGCACAACGGCGCATCCGTGAGCTGGCGCGAACACGCGCGTGATAGACATCAGCATACAGTGAGAACATTACGTCACCGCGTTAACATAGTTTAGCTGCGTGAAACTTGCAATAAAAATTCCACCTTTTCAGTTATTGTAGGATCTGAGTTAGATCCTGAGCTATAAAAAATGTCACATTGAGACTCATTTCAGCAGAGGTTTCCACCTCCATAGGAACTCTATCACCCTGAAAATTGTAAACATTTGCTCCTTTCCTTTAAAGGTGAAGTTAAGCCTCGTGCAAAACCAGGCAGGCACAGTGGGTTGGTCAAAGACCATGATTGAGATACGAGAGGTACCTGGTTCAAGTCCTGCCTGGGAGCGGTTTTTCCAGCCGTGCTGCTACCCACAGTCAACTGGGAACTTGTGGCCAGGCACAAGGGGTACATGGATGCAGCTAATGGGGTCGCTTTCGGCACTTGTGCCAGTGGTTGTGAGACTTACCCACTCACCCCCACCGTTAGGCGCTGCATCTGCCGCTAGGGTTTATCGGGTGTTAGCGGCCGTCGTGAGTTCCCTTCGGGGACGGATACGATAATTTACTCTTTTTTTTTTTTTTTTAAGCCTTGTACTCAAACTTTGGAGCAGGGTGCAGGTTTTCGCGCTCTGAGGCTCCCACAGTTTCTCGCCAGGAAACCGGCATCAGGCCGGCTTGGTTTCAAACATTAGGTATAGTAGTAGTAGTAGGAAACTAGGTAGACATCGGATAGCTTTGGCCCACCTCCGCCATGCCTCCAGCAAAAGCTGCCGTTCGCGGGCTGACGGATTCGGAGGTAAAATTGTTGTGCTCCCTCCCCGGGATCGAGTCTTCGATTTTAGACGTAGTAAAGACGCTGGCAACATTTGTGACGGAGTCCGCAGACCGCGAGACACGACTAAAGAATAGGATCGATGATTTATCGAGGCAAATTGCAGGCCTGAACGAGGAGGTTGTCGCCCTCAGGGAGTCCGCCATTGTCGCAGCAAGTGCTTCTCCCCTGACTCCTCCAGCAGTTGCCCACAACCAGCACAGCCAGCGTACGATGGAGAGTACAGCGGGAAGGACTAGCAAGCGTACCCGTACTCGCGCAGGGCAGGCTGCCACGTGTACCATTGATGCAGACGAACACCGTAGCACTTCCCGTAGCGTGGGTGACCCTGCCAGTGGCCATGAAACGTCAACCGAGGATGAGGACAAGTCCCAGGCAATTGAGCGGCCCACTGTCAAGCCCAAGCCACTGAAGCTAGAGCTAATCACGGATGACACGTGGAAACTGGTATCAAACGAACCTCACAGGGGTGAAGAAAGCCGTAATCTATGTGGGCAATTTGAACTCACATAGCAGTGAAGAAAGTGTCAAGGAATTCACTGAGCAACGCTCTGCAGCAGTGAACAAACCGGTGAAGGTTCACCAGTGCAGCATACACACCACAGAAGATGGGAAAGTGTCTGCCCACTTGATGATCGATGCGACTGACCTTGAAATCGCCACTGCTCCAAACTTTTGGCCTCGCCCACTGTACGCGCGGGTTTGGCGCCACCGTGAGCGTCCGAAGGGGGACACCTTGTCCGGCTCACACAGTGACACTCTCAGTGACGCTCCAAAGGGGGACACGTTGTCCGGCTCAGATTCACACAGTGACGCTCTCTCCGAGTCCTCCGACACTCAAGCTCAAAGCTCCAATTAGATCCTTTCGGATCCTGCTGACGAACACATTTGGACTACTGAGTAAACTTGGTGACTTTCACCATGCTGTACACGTTCACCAACCTGACATTGCCATTGTCACAGAGAGCAAGCTAACCCCTGAGAAGGCTACAGATTCTGAACTGTCCTTGCCTGGGTACTACTCCCCACTGCGAAAGGATTGAACAGCTCATGGAGGAGTTGCGGTTTGGGTTAAAGCCAGTCTGGCCCTCCGAGAACTCGATGACATCCAGGTCGGTAATGAGGAGCTAATATGGCTGAGTGTCAGAACTGTGGATAAGAAGTCAGTGGCTGTGTGTGCTGCATATCGCTCTGGCTCCTGCCACGACAATGACATCAGTACCCTTGAAGCCATCAGTGCTGGCATAGACCTGACCCGTAAATCTTGTCAATATGTGGTATTGGCTGGAGATTTTAACGTACACAACGTGGATTGGCTTGGCAGCACCAAGACAACTCATGCAGGTGTGTACACTGAAGACATGTGTGCTTTTCACTGCTTGGAGCAGCACGTGCATGAGCCCACCAGGGGCCTTAACCCACTCGACTTAATAATGACTGACCTACCGGGAGATGCGACAGTCAATACCTTAGCACCTCTGGGAAACTCTGACCATGCCTGTGTCCTAGCTGACTTTCATGTAAGCACGGCAGAGGAACCACCAGTGACCAGAACTGTCTGGCGTTACCAACGCGCAGACTGGGACAGACTCCGCCACTTCTTTAGAACAACAGATTGGCAGTCCACTGTCAGGGATTATCCTGATGCAATGTGTATGCACTTGACCCAGAATATTCTGGAAGGAATGCGCCGATACATACCGTCTAAGCAGTTGTGCATGAAACCATCTAATCCCTCTTGGTGGACACCGGAATTCACTGAGGCTGTAGCACAGAAACAAAGAGCATGGAGGAGACTCTGCGCCGACCGGTCAAGTGCCCAGCTGCAAGCCCGTTACAATGTCGCCAAGCACTCAGCTAACCATTGCCTGGCAACTGCCAAGCAGGCATTCACAGCAAGCCTGGCGCAGAAGTTAGCCTCTGGGTGTATGGCGTCTGGTGAATGGTGGCGAACCATCAAGAAGGCCTCTGGCCACGGAAACAGCCCATCCATACCTACTCTCCGCAGCACCGATGGTACGGAGCACGACACCAACCGCAGCAAAGCAGAGTGCATGGCCGAACACTTCGTCAACAAATGCAGTCTAGGGGCAGACGACCTATCCGCTCCATTTCCTCACGTTCGACCACGTACTGACCGCAACCTCTGCACCGTCCGGTTTCGCGAGACCACAGTCGAGCGAACTCTCCGCCAGCTCAACCCCACCAAGGCCACTGGTCCAGATGGGACACCTGCCCGCGTCTTGAAAGCTTGCTCTGCAGAATTGGCACGGCCGCTTTCAAAACTATTTACATGCTGTCTTCGCTCCGGCATCCAGCCACAACAGTGGAAGGTTGCAAACGTAGTTCCAGTCCACAAGCGCAAGTCTAAATCGTCGCCATCAAACTATCGACCAGTGTCGTTACTGAGCATCCTCTCCAAGGTCATGGAGACCATAGTCAACAGGGCAATGAGGAACTTCATGGAGACGAATCACGTCCTGTCAGAACGGCAATTTGGCTTCCGTCGCGGCCACAGTGCAGCAGACCTGCTGACTGCTCTCCACCACCAGTGGGTGCACACCGCCAGAGATAAAGGAGCTTCTCGAGTCCTGGCCATCGACATTGCTGGAGCATTTGACCGGGTGTCTCACACTGGTGTGTTGCACAAGGCTAGAGTGTATGGCATCTCGGGAGACCTGCATCGGTGGCTCCAAGACTACCTCTGCAACCGCACACTTCAAGTCCTCATCTCCGGCCAAACATCAGCCAGACGCCCAGTTAAGGCTGGGGCGCCACAGGGCAGTATCCTGGGCCCCACCTTCTTCTTGGTCTACGTCAACGACCTTGAAGACCACCTCCCAATCGGCTCCAACCTTGCCTCATTCGCCAACGACACGACCCTATACGCCGAAATTGCAACTCTCGCTGCTGTTCCTGACAACGCTAGAGTACTCCAGGCTGCTGTCGACCTAGTATCCAGTTGGGGCTCGGATTGGAAAGTGCAGTTCGAGCCAGCCAAATCTCAGGCCCTTACAATTTCCCACCATCGTCGGGACTGGCCAATACCCCCAAAAGGGAGGTTTAGTCCCATGTAATCCGTGGGTACTTTACGTGTGTGTACCACGTGATACTCAGTGATCCACGTACAGACGTTTTCTGATTCACGACATACCGTGTATGGAGGCTCACCCGCGTTCCGCCAGAACGTGGGTGAAAATCAGAATGGAGCGCATTGTGCGAGCTGTGAGGGTGCTCAGCTGAAGAAGTTTCTGAAGCACGAAATCAAAATATTGGATGAGCTTCTTAGGCCCGGGTAGCTTCGTCTTTGACCAGGTTTGGGCCTTTCGCTTCATGCTTTTGTTTGTTCCGTGTGACTAAACACAACATTGCAACGTAGGTGCCCTTCATCCACTTTACGTGGATCACCCACGTACGCGTTTCCGTTACGTGGGAACTAAACCTCCCTATTGTCTTCAATGGAACTCCTGTTGAGGAGCAGCCCTCCATCAAGGTACTCGGCGTCACGTTTGACCATCAGCTAAAATTCAGCCAGCATATCCGAACTGTTGTAGTCCGAGCAACGCAGAGACTTGGAGCCTTGCGCAAGGCATTTCACTTGCTGACTATTCCTGCCCGGCTTCGAGCCTACAAAGCCTTTGTCCGGCCGGTTATGGAGTACTGCCCAATCATCTGGATGGGGGCAGCTCCTTCCCACTTGAATCGGCTGGACTGGGTGCAGGAGCGAGCCATCAAGGCAATAAATCCGCAATGCTGGCTTCCAAGCCTCATAATTCGCCGCATCATCGCTGCCCTCTGCCTCCTGTATAAAGCCCTTTGCGATAATTCTCCCGCTCTTCTCTCGAGAATGGCTCCACCCCCGACACACCAACCCAGGACCACACGCCTCACCCGCCAGGCTGTACGACTGTCCACCGCGCATCCCCATCAGTTACAGAATGTTCTTCCTGCCAATTCCCGGAACAATGTGAGCCGAGCCTTTCCCCACTCCGTCATCCCAATTTGGAACCAGCTGCCTACCTCTATCATTCCCCACCCATTTCACCCAAAGAACATCCAAAAGTTCAAGACAGCAGCTTATCACCATCTCCTCAGAACGAACTGGCACTGGGCCACTCGTAACATAATATTATGCGAGTAAGAGGGTACAGTGTCCTACCCTGCTTGGACATACATGTAATCTCTCCTCACAGACAGTCTCCTCTTGAATTTAAAAGTCTAACAGCGTTCACATCAATACTCGACTTATTCTTTTGCTCACTGAGCAATACAATCTTTCCATTTTCTTTCTTCTGTTTTCTTTTTCAATTTAATCCTCCCTACCCAATATCCCTTTGGTGCGTCCATAGAGCTATGAAGCCGAGACCTCTGGTCGGCGGAGCTTAATGGGCCCCACCACCACACTCCATCATTCACCCCAGTGTCTGGAGATATGTGGATTTTGTAGAAAAAAGAAAGAAAAAAAGCCTAAAAAATTTCACCAGTTGTAGTCTTCGGGGTGCTGAGTCAAATGGCCTTGGTCCGAGGAAGCTGAGACGCTCCCTTCCTACTTTAATCCCAATCGAACTCGCGCACTTCCACCAAAACTGGGTGACTGCGCCCGACTAGATGGGGATTTGTATGCAAAATGTCACTAAAAGCGCCATTTCGTTCTTATAAAATCGCGGATGACTGCGATTGGCCCATATGTTGTAGCCTTTTGGACGCTGAGGCAACTGGTTTTGGTCGGAAAAGGCTGCGATGTAGCGTTCGGCCCATATTCCAATCGTACATGGCTGAACAAGCGGTTACGTGCTCCTGCGTACACCAGTCACCTGGTTACCGTGCCTGTAGGCTACAACTTACAGTGTGTTGGGCGAGTTTCTGTCACTCGAGTTGAACCTTTGAACCTTTCAGTTGAACCTTGGTGAAGTTGTCGCCTGCTGGCGCGGTTACCAGGTGACTGGTGTACGCAGGAGCATGTGACCGCTTGTTCAACCCTATTTGGTCGAGAATAAGGGCCGAACGCTGCAACGCAGCCTTTTCCGACCAAAACCAGTCACCGGAGCGTCTAAAAGACTACAACATATGGGCCAATCGCAGTCGTCCGTGCTTTAAAAATAACGAAATAGCGCTTTTAGTGACATTTTGCATACAAAACCCCATCTAGTAGGGTGCAGTCGCCCAGTTTCGGTGGAAGTGCTCGATTTCGATGGGGAATAAAGAAGGAAGGGAGCGGCTCAGCTTCCTCGGACCAAGACCATTTGACTCAGCACCCCAAAGACTACAACTGGTGAAAATATGAATTTCGGCTTAACTTCCCCTATATTCCCCAATAATATAATGTACCCATTTGTAGTTAGGCTATGGCAAGTAGCCATGCAGTGCTACTGCATTTCATCTTCTTTTGAAGTACGTTGCACCAAAGAACATTTTTTATCGATTTTTGAATGTTGTTCTATTTCCCAATAGCAAATGGTCTCTGGTATAGTCTGTCATGATCACTGTACAGAATTGTGTTGTTGCTCTAACAGGGATAACATGTGAAAATCCTGGTCAACCTGCGAATGGTCAAGCTACAAATACAGGATTTGACTTTGGAAAGACTGTAAGATACACTTGTAACCAAGGTTATGAGATGAAGAACATACCAAGTGGTGTACTCACAGTGGCATGTAAAGGAACTGGACTATGGTCTCAAGCCAAACCTACATGTCAACGTAAGTGTTACTCTGTACAACTAGAGCTGGGATGAACTTTGAGGAGGTGCTGCTGTCCTGGAACGTTTACTGTTTATATGCATGGCCGATATGTTCTTGTCAGTCCTCCCCACCCCAACCCCCCCCCCCCCCCCAAATAAAAAGTCCACCATTTCATTTTTTGTAGGATCTGAGTTAGATCCTGAGCTAACTCCTAATTTGCTATTATATAGGAAATTGGTCATATTTGGTCATATGTTTCAACTCGAAATGGGTGTAGCACGAGCATAGGGAAAAGTATGTGACCAATTCTTCCTTGCTAGAGTCTTAGTAGATATGAAGAGTTGAATAAGATAATTTTCAAATACTAACCCGGCATCTCAGGCTTATCTCCTTGCGCAAAATTACTAAGACCTGTGCCCTATTTTTTGAATCCTACTTCCTCCGTGTCATTAAAATTGTCGCTTCCCAGAGCGATTTTTCGAATTTATTTTGTCCACTCAAAGGGCAAAGAAATCAGCTAGAAATTGAGGCAGGGCATTGTCGGCGGTCCAAGCTTTAGCTTGTGGCCTCTCGCTTTGCTGCACTTGCTGCTAAGGTCGACGTCTTCATCGGAGTTTGAGGCAGACCCTTCAGTACTCCACAATACGCTGAACAAGCCACGCGTTCAAATTCAGGTCAAGAAACTTCATTTTCAAGCGATCCATGCCTCCAGTTGGCAGGCGATGAAGGCAAGCTAGCATTTTTCAAGTACAGGTCGTCCCCTGTTAATACGAGTCCGGTTAGTACATAAACCCCGTTAGTACATAAGAAATCTCAAGTCCCGGACGAAACGTGGTCACTTCCATACAAATTTTGTCGGTTAGTACATAATTCGTTAGTACATAAACCCCGCTAGTACGTAACATTTCTCCGTACCCGCATGTCATCTACCTCAATAGTACATAATTTGTTGGTCTTTTGGCCTTCCGGTGGAGGCACATGTAGAATCTTCGCTAACTGTGACCGTTATAACATAATTTTTATGTTATATCGAGGGAATCAAGAATATCTCGCTGCCTAGTCGAGGTAGCAAGAAACACTCAGAAAAGTTGAAAAATGTGAAAAATTCCGGTACACAAGCAAGTTATGTACACTTTCGTTTAGTACATTATTATTATTATTATGAACAGTTTCGCGTACTTGAGGACCAGCCTCTTTCCGCCTCTGTGTTCCTGAGCAATAGAAGGAGAGAGACAAAACTATACTATTATGATGATGACAAGGGAAGACATGGACTGCAAGGTACGGTTTACAAATCGACAATAAGCAAATAGCACTGAGAAGGATGGGCAACTTCTGTTTCGTCAGTGTTCACTGTGCGTTTTTTACGAAGGCCTTCCACACTTGCCTGTCGGATGCCTTCTGCCGGAGGCTCTGCAGATGCGGGCTCCTCTTGAGTGGCGTTTGTCTGTGGACGCAGTCTTGCTGGATCTGGGTGACTAAAGTAGTCAGAGGTCTTCCTGGCTTGGCTGTGTTCGGTGGATTGAAGTAGAGTGCCATGGCTTGTTGCGGTGGTGTGTCTTCGGGCAGGCGTAGGACATGTCCCAGCATGGTCATTCTTTGTCTGTGGACTTCCTCGGAGATGGGCTGGCTCTGACATCTCCGGTATAACTCGATGTTTGTGATACGATTGGGGTAATGTATGCCCAGTAGCGAGCGAAGCTGTTGCCTGTGGAACACGTCCAGCTTGTCACTGACTGCCTTTGTTGATCCCCACGTACAGCAATTGTACAATAGGGTCGGCAGAACATATGCGTTGTAGAGGCGAACTCTGCGAGCTTCTGAGACATGCTCCCTCCGCAGCCACAGAGTGTACATGTTCTTGAAGGCAATCGTTGCCCGCTGCTTTCGCCTTTGGATGTCTTCGTTAGTTGCCACGAGTGATCCCAGCTGCTTTACTGTTTTCCAATTTTCTGTTGTTGACGATACTGTGACCCATTCCGTCTTCTGGGTGTTTACGTACAGCGACCAGGATTCAAGGACCTTCGCAATGATCGGCAGTGCAGCTCGTAACCAGTCTAGACTTGTGCTGTAGTAGTTGACATCGTCAGCATACCTGCTCTCATGGGGTAGTAGTCTATCGCTTTCTGGACGGGGTGGCAGATGGGACAGGACATCCCTCAGGGCCGCTTCGAGATAACAGGTGAACAGGACTGGGCTTAGGCCATCGCCCCGTGGTGTTCCAACTGTGTTACTGAACGACTCTGAGGTCGCCTGTCCAACACGGACCACGAGGGTAGTTCTCTCCAGGAGCAGTCGCAAGAGTTTGCGTTCGTCTGGGCCAACTACTCCATCCATCACTTCCAATGCCTGTTGATAGTGTCAAAAGCGCGACTCATGTCGATTCCCAGCATGTGGTAGGTGAATGGATGCCTCTGTGTCTTAGCACTCATCCAACGCTGTGTCCATACGACGTCTGCCGTGCTCCTGCCTCTTCTGAAACCTGATTGTATCGCGCCAAGGTGTCCATCGACGGCTGGGGCTATTCTTTTGAGTACAACCAGAGATAGAGCCTTTCTGATGGTATTGAGGAGAACAACTGGTCTTAGGCTTGTTACTGGACCTCTGGGTTTTCCTGGCTTTGCTAGTGGTACTAATATGCCAGCTCCAATGACTTGCGATAGGTCTTGGTTATTGGTAACAGCTGTGTTTATGAGTCCGACGATCAAGGGTGACAAGTATCCTTTTCCATATTTCAGCAGCTCCGCTGGCACTCCGTCAGGTCCTGCAGCTTTCTGGTTGTTCATTCTTGACAGTGCAGCTTCCATTTCATGTACTGCTACTGGGTTTGACAGTGGCGTCGCCAAGCCTTCCGGTGTCGTCACATGGTTTGTTGGTGTGGGATTGCACAACAGTGTGCTGAAGTGGTCACGGACGCGGTCAGCTCTGTCGACGTCTCGATCAAGGACTAATCCGTCCACAGACTCCACAATGATTTTCTTTTGCTTTTCTCTGCGGAAGACTGATGTTGCTTGGTACATTTTGATGCTGTCGGGAGCGCGCTCAATAGCTTCTGCTGCTCTATCCAGCTGGGAGTTGGCGTTGTCCAAGCACCTGCGTCGTATTTGGTGGGAAATCCTGTTCCTCTGTTCTCTAGCTCTGCGTTTGCCTTCATCGTCCAAACTGCCGTCCTCCAACCGTAGACGCAGTAGTCTCTGCTGCATCGACAACCGTTGGATCTGTGGGTCTGGATTGACGAGTCCCCGACGCGTTTTCACCATTGTTCCAAGAACGGATTTTGCCTTTTCCTTCACTATTTCTGTGACTGTTTGCCACGCCACCGAGAGGTCTGCTGTGTTCGCTGCGACTCGCTCCATGCAGTCACTCGCACTCAGTGCGTCCACATACTGCCGCCTCACGGTGCTGTCATGCAGTCTCCCTATGGCAACGGGTGGTTCCTGCTTCTTCGACGCTCTGAACACTTTGAAGAATGAATCGAGTCGGAGATCGCTGATCACAAGTTTGTGATCACTGCACACCATGGTGCCACCATATGAGCGTGCTCGTCGGACAAGGGATTTGCAATGTTCCGGTACGATGATGTAGTCAATCATATTGTAGATAGGCTTAGTGCACGGTCCGTCTCTGACATATCCAGTCCACGTCGTTCTGTAGCGCTGTGAATAGCGAAAGAGTGTGTTCGCCAACACCAGACTCCTGGACGTCGCCCATTGAACCAGGGCCTCGCCATTTTCGTTCCGTTTGCCCTTAGCGTACTGACCAACACAGGGTGCCGTCCCATTTCCAACTTTACTGTTGAAGTCACCTGCGTACAGAACAATGGCTCGTTTCTTCACGCTGGCCCATGCACTCGACAGACTATCGTAAAATTGGTCTCGGATGTCTGGGTTTTTCTCCGCGAGAGGGGTTGTTGGGCCGTATGCAGAAATGATACGCACATCGAGAGTGTCGCGACCGTGGGCCCGAGGGAACTTGAAGTCCGCGAAGCCGACTCTGTCTGTTAACTTCTTATGATGTAGCAGGAATGGTTCGATTCTTGGAGAGATAACGAATCCAAGGCCGCCATGCTTTCCAGATTCTTGACCGAAGCTGATCAAGCGGAAAGTTTTTTGGCCCGCGTGTATTTTCCTGTCGAATGCTTCGGTGGTCTTGAGCTCTTGAAGGCTGCAGAAGTCGACGCCATAGGCATCCATGTCAGTCGCCAGTTGCTGCTGCTTCACGTTCGACGTTAGGCCTCGAACATTGAACGTCGCTAATTTGAACAAATTCAATAACGATAAATTACGGCTGCTCGCCATATCCGCTGCTCAAGAACGTTGACAAGAGGAGAAAAGGAGAGAGAAGAGAAGAGAAGAGAGGACAGGGAGAGACTAGAAAGGAAAAGAAGGGGAGAAAGAGGGTAACTAGTAGAGAGGAAGAGAGGAAGAGTGGAGGAGAGGAGAGGAAAAAATTGCGTGGCAGTCAGCCAAGCAATTAGTACATAAACCCTGTTAATACATAACATTTGTCAAGTCCCAGAGATTATGTATTAACGAAGGACGACCTGTACACTGTAACGACCTTCCAGCGGGATAGGGTAAGCAGTTCCGCACCTTCTTTCATTGGCAAGCCCTTCGCTGATTTTGTTGGTGTTTTCAGACCTGCTACCTTCGCAGCAACATGGGCCACAAGTACCGCATTTTAGGAATTTGAGAACACTTTGTTCTTGCCATCGTCAACGTCAGCATTTCGTATTCAGGAGAGATACCAGGATTCTTAGGTTGCAGTCTTGATAAATGCCCTCGCGAACGATGTGGGATGGCACAAACTCCCGAAAAATGATATGCGCTCTGGTTCGAAATAGTGCGGAGTGTAATGAATTTGCTTGGTGCAGAAGAGAGCTCCGGCAAAGCCCGAGACCACCACAGCTTCAGTAACGAGTAGACCATTGCGCAGGAAGGGTCGCACCAATGTTCGAATACAGAAAACAGCGATTCCGACAGTCTGACTAAGACGAGCCAAGTCACAAACATTGCGAT